GGTTTATTTCTCCGTATTTTTAAACTCAAAATTTTACTGGCCGTGTGTTACTAACACATTTTTGCACTATTCCCACATCAAAACATTTCATTTCTTATAACCATTGTTAATACCCCTCCTGGGCCTAAAATTATGACCATCCAAAATTTCGCCTGTTAATACTGCCATTTTGGGTGGCTAGACAATTCGGCCAAACGTGCCTCGTAAAGATGTCAACTACAAGAGTAGATGAAAGATGTCTAAGGTCTCCGGTCTGTCAATTTATTTTTTTTTCGGAGAGCTACAGTTCCTGATGTAGTTGGAGCTATGACTTTCATATTTCACATGTGCATTTCCTTGTGACAAGACATTTCTTTGGGTACCATCATATTTGACCTTTTGACTTTGACCATGGAATTTGACCCACTTTTGCAAAATTTTATGAGACTTTAACCTTGGCCATAACTTCTGAACAGTTGGTGCTTGGGGTTTCGAATTTCACATGTGTATTCCTTGTGACAAGACCTTCCTTTGGATACCAACCACTTTGACCTTTTGACCTTGACATAGGAGTTTGACCTACTTTTGAAAAACTTTAACCTCGGCCATAACGTTTGAATGGCTGGTGCTAGGGCTTTCATACTTCACATATGTAATCCTTGTGACAAGACCTTCCTTTGGATACCAACAACTTTGACCTTGACGTTTTACTTACTTTCAAAAAAACTTTAACCTTCGCCATAACTTTTGAACAGTTGCAGCCAGGGCTTTCAAATTTCACAGGTATATTCCTCGAGACAAGACCTTTCTTTGTGCACCAAGACTTTTTTCTTTTGGCCTAGATTTTGACTTGCATTTGAGAAACTTTAACCTTCGCCAAAAGCTGCAATACGGGGGCATCAGTGTTTCACAAACACATCTTGTTTGGTCTTGTCAAGTCTTTTCAGAAAAGTTGTCAACCCCTTTCCCTATATCAGAAACGATACTATGTGCCTGCAGTTATTATAAATATTCAAAGCATCATACACTTCCCGTCCGATTTACAGATATTAATATTCCTGCCAAATATTATACAGGTAGATAGCTATATAGTTATGTTATATGAATGAAATGCCACATGAAGGGAAAAAAGACATTTTTATAGTGCATACATCAACACAATCGTACCAATATAACAGTGTTAATTTCAGGCATTGATTTTAACTTACGTAAATGTGTTTGTTTTACAGGAAATTTATCAATGGATGACAAGTGGTTATATGATAAAGCTCATCCTACAAGAGATGCAGATACTAGGCAGGAAAATTTAGTTTCAAATTTTCTAGCTAGCCTCACAGATAACCAAGCCCACATATATGTAGAGTTGAACAAAAATCCACAGACAATAGATACAGGCCCGTAGGAAGCAGTTTTAGTTGAGGGGGCACTACCAAAAATTTTCAGACAAGACAAAAAAAGGTCAGCAACTACCAAAAATTCCTTGACAAGCAAAAACAAGAAGCCCAAGGGCCTGAACGGTCACCTGAGTACAACAATTTAGAGGATCCATAAACTGATAAATGAAGCTTTGTTGCAAAAAAGCAAGAAAAATAGTACGATTAAGATCAACAAAATAATTGTTCTATATCTATCTATCTGTCCCCAATTTATCACTATTACCATGCAGACTTTTAACAAAATGTCTATTACCTCTCAAATTGACCTCACTTGGCCTTTGAAGAACATTTAAAAAGATAAGTTATTTTTGTTTCATTTTTATTCATGTATTATTTCCAAGTCTACCTGATCATTTAGACTAAGAAAGTACTTTTTGTATTAAACAATAAATGTTCTTGCATAATTCTTTTATTCTATTAACATTTCAAATACATTATCTACAGTGATTACTTATCAAAGATGGATGGCAAATTTGGGGAATAACTTCAATCAGTAGAAAACAAATTAATAGAGCCCTGGCCAGGACCAGAACACTTGACTAAATGGTCCAGATGTTCAAAATTCTGGTAAAATACCCTTGCTTATTAAAACTTTTTCACTCTGTTTGCCTCCAATATGCCCAGGAGCAGAGAAGATCTTCAAAGAAATAATGCATTTTCACTATCTAACACAGTCCTACCCTAACACCAGAACCCATGACCCAGGGTCATGAAATTTACAAATATGGAAGAGGTACCCTCATCATCATAACTATGCAATTACATGTAGTTGTAGATTTTCAAAGAATTCACCCATTTTCACTATATTATCAATAGACCTCCCCTTCACAGACACAACAGAACCCCTGGAACCAGAAGTTTGAAAAATTTTGTGAAAGTATCCTTGCTCATCATAACTATTCTCTTGTTTCTTTGCTTTATAACCAGTAGCAGAAAAAAATATTTTGAAAGAAATTAAGAATTTTCACTATATAATTAATAGAGTCCCCCCCCCCTTTCACCAGAACCCCTGATTCTGGGGACATGAATTTCACAATTTTGGAAGAGGTATTCTTGCTTATCATAACCATGCACTTACTTTGTTTAAATAATACCCAGGAGCAGAGAAGAAGATTTTCAAAGATTTAATGCATTTTCACTATATAATCAATAGAACTCCGCCCTAACACCAGAACCCCTGACCCTGGGGCATGAAATTCACAATTTTGGAAGAGGCAGCCATGCTCAACATAACTATGTACTTAATTAGTTTATTTATACCCTGGAGCAGAGAAGAAGATTTTCAAAGATTTAATGCATATTTTCACTATATAATCAATAGATCCCCGCCCTAACACCAGAATCCCTGACCCCGGGGTCATAAAATTCACGATTTTGGAACAGGCAGCCATGCTCATCATAACTATGTACTTAGTTAGTTTATTTAACACCCAGGAGCAGATCAGAAGATTTTCAAAGAAATAATGCACTTTCCCTATATGATCTATTTAGCCCCACCCTAGCACCAGAACCCCTGACCCCGGGCCATGAAATTCACAATTTTGGAAGAGGCAGTCTTGCTCAACATAACTATGTACTTAGTTAGTTTATCTAATACCCAGGTACAGAGAAAAAGATTTTCAAAGAAATAATGCACTTTCCCTATATGATCTATTTAGCCCCACCCTAGCACCAGAACCCCTTACCCTGGGGCTATGAATTTCACAATTTTGTTAGAGGGCTCAATGCTTATTACAATCATGCCAACAGTTTGACTGCTTGATGTCCAGGAGTAAAGAAGACGATTTTTAAAGATTGCATTAATTTTGGTGGTTTTAGCCCCATCCCTCAAACTCCAGGGGGGGGGGGGGGGGATGGGGGGAGCAGGCACCATGAAATTCACTATTTGATAGTTATGTGTTAAATATGTGATAAAAGGAATCTCCGATTGGTTTATAGTTGGATGCGATATTTATCTAACTCATTGTGTGTTTTGTATCCCCTCGCCAAGGCTCAGGGATATAAAACACATAACTCGTTGTATAAAAATCATATCCAACCACAATACATGGGAGATCCTATATTCATCAAATTGCTTTCAAACATTTTAGCATTGTAACATTCCAAAACATAAAATATGTTATTTTTATTCTTTCAGGTAACTGTACGTGCTTCACTGGTTATGCTGGTAGTGACTGTGCATTTGACTTATCAGGTCCACCTGAAATCTCTCGTATCTCAGATTTCGGTTTCTGTGACAAATCGAAAGAAAGCTGTGACGAAATTACAATATATGGAAAATATTTTATGGAAAACATAAACACTCTCAAGTACATGACTAGGTTATTGGTAATGATATTAATTTAAAATACTTGCTGTTGGTTACTGTTATCTCTCTGAAGGAAAAAAAAAAGAAAATTAACCCCATGTTTTCTACCCTTGTAATGTTATATTATGGGAAGTGTATACACGATTTTGTCAATACATTCAACGGTATATCTTTAATGCCATAATAATAAAATGGTTGTTCATGTACGGTACATGTATATGCACATGTATCACATTGGTAAATGCACGAATATCATATTAAGGAATCAATTGAGGATAACAAACTTACTTTTTTCCCAAAATTCAAATCTCTGCTTAGGTGCCTCTGTCACATTCGGTGCAAAGTGGAAAAATGTTATTACGTTTCAATATAATTTTAGTTTAAAATGTTTTAGAAATATTAAAGTTTTATATTTATTTATTATAAAGATTTGTTACTGTAATGCTCTTGGACGGTTTTCATGTCTGTATTTTACACATTTATTATTTCCTAATTAGATTTCCATAGAAAGGAATATAAAAAAATAGCAATGTATCTCATCTCAATATGAAATAAGAATTTTTTGTGGTATATCTTTTTATCTATGCTTTCAATAGACATTTCTTTCTTTCTTTTGTTATAAAAGTATGATGTAGAAGGATCAGCTAGAGCGACAGAGCTAGAGGAAAGAACACTATTTGAGGGTTACTGCTCTCTTCAATATGGCGACACAGCAACATGGCTGTCATTTTTCCAGTTTAATATATCTCATGATGGAAATAATTTTACGGAAACTTTTAATGTATACACGTTTCAATCCTTGTGCCAGGAATACCAAAATGATAGTGGAAATATATATTTTACGTTTAAGGTAAATTATTGTACTTTTTTATAGAATGGATAGTAATTTAAACCTGTATTTTAATTGTTGCATATATCATTACAATTGATTGCTTTGCATGGTGGGAAAGGTAAAGATTTTTTTTCAACCCGAGAAAAGACATACCCAGTCAGGATTGATCAATCTCGACAACGGAATGGGATTTGATCATACAGATATTCGGATACAGTAAAACTTGTCTAATCCGGACACCACTTGTCCCATAGTGATTGGCCGGATTAGACAACATTTCAATCATTTGAATTTAAAAGTTTATTACGCAAGATTTCGAAATACACAACATCCATATTGAACAAGTTTCACTCTAACTACTAAATGATAATGCTTTTTATTTTGTATGATATTTTTTAATAAATATCATTAAACGTCATTGATCTGTTCTAAGGAGGGCTTCTGCTTTATTGATGGACTCTGTATCCCTGATCAAGCAACAAATCCAGAGAATCTGTGCGACATCTGCAACGTTGCCATAAATAGATATAGTTGGACATATAATGAAGGTATAAGGAAATTCTGTATCTTAAAATACGTAAACATTCTATTTGAAGGAAGTTAGAGCACTCTTTTTGGAATATTTTTCATGTTGTATAAGAAATAAAAGTTCTATGTTCGAAATTTAATTAAGTTAATTTTACTAGCCTAGTAAAGGGAATTGAAACCAAAATGTCACGTGATAGATGTATGGTAGTGTGGTCATTTAATCCGTTTTTGGAGCTTAACGAAAATATGTCTTTGCACAACTATAATCCTGACCACAATATGTAGAATTTTTGATTTTATCGTCGTTTGAACTGAATTTGTGTTTTTACTGAATTTATGTATTTATTGATGCTATTTTTGGTAGGCGTTGACACACAATAGCCTCACTTACCTTGAACTAGAGAAAAAAAGTTGACTATGTTAATAGTAAATTGTTCCTAATGTCAAACAAATACGTACAATGCATTATTTAAATAATTTAGGACTCTGTCTCATTGACGGAAAGTGCATTGCCAGAGGAGAGAGGGACAAATCGAATTTTTGTAAATTTTGCAATCCTACATCCAGCAATACGTCTTGGTCTCTTTCTAAAGGTAAATTAGCAATAAATTAAATTTCTATATCTTTATTTTAAGAGTTTAAAGGGTTAATCCTGCACATACATTTTATTTCCAAATTTTACAGATTGCATTTGACATTTTAAGATCATGTGCTAAAATATGGTTTATATTATATCGATAAATGGAGGGAAACAAAGTAGCTCAGGTGCACGTGGGAAATTTTTTTTTGCATGCATTTGTATATAAATTAGCAACACAAAATACTTGTATCAAACTGAAGAATGTTCAGTTAAATAATTATTGCTAAAAAAACTAAGGAAAAAAAAAACTAAAATTATTTGTGAAATCATCATGAATATATTATCCTTGTGCTAAAAAATAATTTATTTCTGTAAATTGTCTTCTTTTGTAGAGTCCTGCTTGATTGAAAATAGGTGTTACTTCAAGCGGGAATCGAGACAAAATAATAAATGCAAAATATGTAACCCAGACGAAGATCAGTATGGTTGGACGCTAAACGAAGGTATGTCAATTATGCATGTATATCATTCTAAAGCATTCGTAAACCGAAATAGAATCAACCAGCGTTTTGGAGATTTTCTATTTTCTTCGACGATGGGATAGAAACACACACACACACAAACAACGAATGTGCTTATAGCCATATCCAGTCATAAAAAGGGAGAGAGTTCCTTTTATCATAATTTTGCTCATGCCTAAAGTTTATTTTATTTTCCGTCGGTTGTCTTTGGTCGCTCAACGTTATTATTCCCCCCCCCCCCCTTCTCAAAAAAAAAGGCACGGGATGATTTTTTTTAAAAAATGCTTTTAAAAGTGTCATTTACTTTTCAATGATTTTGTACATTAAAACATTTGGAATTGTTATTTAATCTTACATGTTTACGAATGAACTTGCATGTATTTGTTTACAGAACAGTAGGAAGTGTCGGAATACATACATTGTATTGATTGGAATGACAAATTAATAAAATCCACTAAACGTGATAAATCATTTAAATTCACAGATGTTGATGAGTGCTTTTTTTTATTTGAATTAATGCTATTAAGATGCGAATGACAAGATTCACAAGGACAAAGAGCAGAATATTTAGAAAATAATGTGCACAAGTGTTTATATTCTTCATTCTTTATGATTTGGTTTCTTCATAGATGTTAATTAGTATTGAATGTACGATGTTATTTGGCGTTCAAATCGAAGGGCGTGGAGCGTTCAACATTTTTAGGCCCCATGAAACTGAATAAATATCCAATAATACGAGTCTTCAAGGTGTAAACAACTTGTAGCATATCTGAGGAGGTGTCAAGAGTTAGAAACATCATAGAAATCGTGAGAAAATATGTCCACCATTATGGAGTCAGATAAATTAAATTTCGAAAATTTCTAAATGTTCATTTCATTTGCCAACATCTGAAGTTAAATGTATGTAGTGTTTATGTTTCAGTAAACTTCTACAGTCGACTATATTTTTTGTTTCTCCTCCGCCTTCTCTTTATCACCTTTTGTTATGCAGATTGTTTAAACATTCAGCTGTAAAACAATTTTTTTGTTGATGAACGAGTTTTTCTTTACCAGAGTGTATAACGACACTTTATCCAAATAAAGAAACAAGTACAGAGTCTTCAACAGAGTCAAAAACATCCGTCATAGGAACCAGAACATCGTTGGAATCAACTACATTAGAACAATCAACAGATCAAACATTGCCGACAACTTACTCCACTACAGAACAAATGGCAACCACAACATCAACTCCGTCTGAGGAAGAAGGGTCACCGGTGTCGCTGTCTGATACCGATATCATTGTTATCTTGTGTACTACTGTGATAAGCATTGTCGTGGTGATCATCATTGATTTTGCTGTTTTTCGAAGTCGAATATAAGTACTCTGGTCCTTCCCTTACTTTTTATAGAATTAGTATCCTTGTGTTCTGTTCAGTGATGTTATTTCAGCATCATAAAGAATTTGGTATTGCTTTATACTTCTGAAATATATCAGTAAAAATATTTATTTTTCAAGTTTTTTTAAACGTCATGAAATATATGTTCCTTGTATGGCTTGCCTTATAAATTTTCCATTCCTCAAAACATTTTGCAATATATATAGGCAAGTCAATGGTTTGAACAATAATAAATATTACAATGATTTTGATGAATAGAGCTAAAAAATTGTTAATGTAAGGAATTCATTTTGCAGATTTACAAAAGATTCCAAGACAATGTGGACAATTCCAAATATCACAAGTACATCAAGAGAACTTCCAGGAATATCGCTAATGAGATACACAAAAAAGTAACTTCATATTTTAGCAATATTTTTTTCTCCGAATGCACGAGATGCTCACCGTAGTTATAAGAAACAAATTAAAGACAAAGCTGGTGAATTAATCCCTTTATTTCAAACATTATTAATAAAGTGTACATTCTTGTGTACCGTTATCCATGCACATGAAGGACATATTTCCTTAAATGAAAGCTATAGATTGGAAATTTCACAGTTTGGTATAGGACGCCCAAAGGAAAAAACGCCCTTAAATATTTTTAGAGAAAGAATATAATATTAGCATTTTTTAAAGTGTGTAAACTTGATGAATGGGAATTATGTCATCTGAATTTGTGTATGCTGAGTTTAACCAAAGAGATGCACATCAGTAATTTGTCACCTGACAGATTTAAAGATCGAAAATGATATACGGATATATTTTTCCCATTCCTTCGAAACAAGCTTCTTAACATGAAAAGTACTTGTAGCAAGTATATCATGAAAATTTAGCCTTTATTTAAAACTACCTAAAATTATGTAATACGCATTGCAATAGTGTTTAATTATAGAATAAAGCAACAGCACACAACCAGCTCCCAGCACTTTTCAAAAAATAACTACTAACACATGCTTAAAACTCATTTTAGTGAAGTGGAAATTGTTGAGCTATTGGGCCATTCCTGTCATTCTAGTACTTTACTGTACAAGTGGACAAGTGTTGCACGAGAATTTCAAGCTTCCCTTTTTTAAAAACATGATTGTGACGTAAATCTTTTGTTTATCTGGTCCATCTATACCTTAATGGTGAGCTAACTCCTCAAACAATCCATTAAGTTACCTGTAACTGTCCATTCTTTTTTGGAAAACTGTCCATTCTTTTTAAGAATGGACAGTTAAATAAGAATGGAGAGTTACAAGTAAACTTTGGAATGTGTTCAAGAGAAAAACAAATACATTAAATATGCTTTAATTTACATGTAAATGACAAATAGAATGCGAAGATCTACGTTAATCCAGAACTCAATATCAGCACAGCATCCACTCGATTTTACCCTTTTAAATCCATGAATCATGGACATTTTTTCAATACTCAGCACTCAATTTTCACAAAACTTGAATTCAAATGACACAGTTTCACATTTGATTTAAATTTCGGAAAAATCATTCGCTCGAGGAGAGTTCATTTTAAGTTAGAAGGGCGTCTTAAATTAAATTCTCCACTCAGGAAACGGTTTGCACCATGAACACTACACTGCTGCATTTAATATTTCCGTAGAAAATAATTAAAAGTGAAACCCAGATTTGACTGAAAAACATTTTCATGTCGAAAATTGGCTCACGGCTAATTCAACACTCAAAACACACTTTCCCTATCACCATTACACTGCTGCACTTAATATTATCCTCAAAAATAGAATTCAACTAAAACATTTCTAGGTTTGATTCAAATTTGATTATCTGTATCTGTGTCAGAAATTCATATTTGGTCAAAGTTTGGCTAATATTTCTTTTACTCTTAATCTTCTGTTTCCCGATCCAAATATCACTAATTTTGTGCATATTTTGGTTTATTACATTTTGATTCTGTCATAACTTCTCTCCATCGGAGGAAAACATGCATGCCTTTACAACACAAACTGTAAACTGATTTTGAAGCATCGCATACTTGTAGAAATACTAGTATCCACCAAAATCCACCTGTAACTGTCCATTCTTTAGACAAAGGCCTTTCATTTTGTTATTTGCATCTGGAAACACAATGGTTATTCAACAAATTGCTGTGCACCCCTAGCTTACCTATGGAATCCGGATAGGGCCACGTAATTCTCTATCGCACCATCGAGCATCGAGTCAAGGGTCGATGGTGCGATAGCGCGATTACGATGACGGGATGGTGCGATACTGCGATGACGATGGTGCGATAGCACGATGGAGCGTTAGCGAACATAGCTTCATCGTCATCGTACTATCACTTCATCGTTATCGCGCTATCCCTTCATCGTTATCGCTCCATCGCGCAATCGCTTTATCGTGCCATTGCATAAACGTCATCGCATTGTCGCGCTATCACACCATCGCTTCATCGTCATCGCACAATCGCTTCATCGCCATCGCATTGTCGCGTCCTCGCACTACCGAACATCGATGGTGCGATGATGCAAGAGTGAACTACATGGCCCTATTCCATACTTACCTGTGACTGTCCATTCTGTAAACAATGAACTTGTCATTATATGTGTGCTACCTGTCATATCTGATACCAGTTTTGTACATTTTTTAATTTAATTTTCAGAACAAAGGAAATCATGTTTTAAGGAGGAGAAAGGCCTCAAAATGTCCATTCTGTGAGAGAAAGATCTACGGCCCTCGATTAGTTCTTTCTCTCACAGAATGGACAGTTTGAGGCCTTTATCCTTTACAGATTAAATGATTTTAAGTGCTATCCTTTATGACATGTCAAACGTTGTAAGATTCGATCTTTTCTATTTGTATTGTATAATTTTCCATTTATATTCAATATTTTTCCATTTGCATTGTATAATTTTTCATTTGTATTGTATAATGTGTATTAGTATTCTATAATTTTCCATTTGTATTCTATAATTTTTCATTTGTATTGCATATTTTTTCATTTGTTTTGTACCTGTATTTTGGATGCAAAATAGTTTATTTTATTCCATTTTTATCTCTGCTACTAAATCAAAACCATACTGGCTATTCACAAATAATAATAAGAAAATCGTTAAACTATAGAGAGGTTTCGCAGACCAAGGTGTACGTGAACATGTACGTGTACAGTACAAGTTCGAAATACAAGTCCGCATTTATAACACTTTTCTCGTTTAGCAATGTTACAACCCGAAATGTAATAACAATGCAAAATGTAATAAACTGGGATTATTACATTTTGCGTTATAACATTTTGCGTCGAGATCAACGCAAAATGTAATAACGCAAAATGTAATAAGACGACTTTTGGATTATTACATTTTGCGTTATTACATTTTGCGTTGGGATTAACGCAATATGTAATAATGCACTTTTTGGTTGTTAGATTTTGCGTTACTTAATTTTTGCGTTGAGGACAACGCAAAATGTAATAAAAGAAAATGTAATAAACGGAAAATGTTATTATTTTTTTTGTACTGTGTTCAACGCTAAACATGCACAAAATTGATTTAAAAATATAACAATCGGGAAACTCGCTTTATTAAATAGACAGACATACTTATGACTATGACACAAACGTTACGGCTTTTACGGACATTACTAAATCTAATTGTATATTTTTTTAAACTCTGTTTAATTGAATACTTATAAAACATTAATTTAACTTTGATTGACATGTCTATTTATAAATCAGTCTGTATTTTATATCCATCACTGACATTCTTAATAACCAAAGATTGACGTCGCCCACTGTGGGCCGTGGAGACCGGTCTTTTGGATGAGACCGTATAAACCGAGGTCCCGTGTCGCAGTAGGTGCTGGCACGAAAAAGATCCCTCACTGCTCAATGGCCGTAAGTGCCGAGTATAAGACAAAATTTTCAGCTCTCCACTGGCAAGTGGTGGCGTCTCCATATGAGTGAAAAACTCTCGAGAGGGACGTTAAACAACATACAAACAAAACAATGCACATGATTTGTGAATCAAAATGAAATCTTAATTGTCAAGAAACTCCCTTTCCTCTATATTTACACCTGCCAGTAAAAATAAATAGATTCCTTTTCTAAATTTAATGCATGTGCTTATCAAAAAGCAAAAGCAAACTCAACTGATACATTGGTCAACGAAATACCCCCCCCCCCCCTACACACACACATACAAACACACTCGTGTGCACGCTTGTTTCTGCTTTGCAACACCTATGATTTGATATCAGCCGATTTCAAATGGCTAATGAAATCAGTATATTATGAAATCAGATCTAATGAAAGATATAGCATATGTTTATTTTTCCCTTCGTTTTATTTTCTTCATCCACTATTAAATTGAAAATTATTCTCAATCTGACTGACAAAAGTGTGTTATTACATTTTGCGTTGTTACATTTTGCGTCGAGAATTATTCTCAATCTGACTGACAAAAGTGTGTTATTACATTTTGCGTTGTTGCATTTTGCTTAATCTCGACGCAAAATGTAACAACGCAAAATGTAATAATCCAGAAATCGCGATATTTCATTTTGCGTTATTACAATTTGCGTTGATTTCGACGCAAAATGTAATAACGAAAAATATAATAATTCTAAAAAGTCTGTTTTTACATTTTGTGTTATTACATTCTGCGTTGATATCGACGCAAAATGTAATAACGCAAAATGCAATAATCCCGGTTTATTACATTTTCCGTTGTTATTACATTTCGCGTTGTAACATAGCAACATAACTCGTACGTGTACTTGTAAATGCTTTAAATACAAAAGTCTTTATCTTCGGATGATTTCAATTTCTTTTGGTAGTGTTATCCTCTAAAATTTATAATGTTATCTCAAATTTAATTGATTATGTGCAAATATATATAACAATAAATTTCAAAAAGAGTACTTTTACCATTGATTCGTAAAATAATGTTTTAAAAGTCAAGATTAGTATATTCAACGCTTAATAAAATAATTCTTTACAATAAAAACATGAAGTTCCTTGTATTAGTACTTGCACTAAATCGTCGGATTTAAAAAAAAACACAAACTTTGCTTGAAATAAACAGCAAATAAGAAAATATACGCTACAAGTTTGATCTTACGGGTAATCGGCGATCTACATGTACGTAGATAGGTGTAGAATTTCATAATTAGCAAACGTGATGACGTAATGCACATATTTTCCCTCCTGTACGTACAACTACACGTACACGTTCATTTCCGAAACCTCTGTAATAATTTTGAAACATCCAAACAGAAACAATATAGCAAACAGATTGTAATAACTAAACACATTCCGTCTATTATCAAATGTAAAATTAGCATTTTTTAAAGCTTCAAGTAAAATGTTTCCAAGATCATTAAGTTCTCGACACCACACCCCCGCCCCCTCCCCCCTCCACCCTCTTCCACACACACACTTACGTTAATATTTACATCCACTGAATAATTTGTTGACGGTGCGACCGTTAGGGCGAGCGCAGATATTTATTCAGATTTAATTTAGATCGGACTCGATCGTCAAACTGCACGTGACATTTCACGTCTAGACTCTGACGTCACATGACGTCGTATTTAAGTTGCATTACCAAACCGAAGCCGGAACATTGTTGAATTTAATGAAGAACGTTTTATTTACTATTTATCTGCAATATATCCATTAAATCAAGGCGAGTTTAATTTTTGTTAAACTGGTGTTGTTATTCTCGCGAGAACGTAGCTTAAACAAGCGATGCATTGTTGGTCCAAAAGTTACTGCGGAAAATAATTCGTTCGGATCAATGTGTAAGTCCGAATTTTCTCTTCGCCCAGGCGTTGTCGTTAGAGCTTCGAGCCGCTCGCTGCGCTCGCTATTATCACGTATATTTCTTATATTTACATTTCCAATGTCTTTGTCCGAGATAAAACTACAAATAGTAAAAATACTTTATTTCTACATAAAGCTACTGGTTCATCAATAGGCGTGGTTAAAAACAAAATCACGTGCGGGGCGGGAAAATAGAGACAGAAGCAGGGCTTGTAGCACGTGAATTTGCGGAATCAAGAGCATGTAAAGATAAGGAATAACTGTCAGATTTTTTGGTTTCATCACGGCGTTTATGCAAATTATAACGCTAGCCAATCGATTGATCATATCATGAAACCAAAAAGTTACACACTTATTCTTAAATAAAAACCACGGTCGTTTAACAATACCTTTAATGCCACTAAGCAAACCTCGTGTAAAGATTTCTCTTCCATCAATGAAACATACAATGAAGTACATATAACTAATACTGAAGCTTACGTTATATGATTATTTATACAGACATAAATATAAACAATGAATTGTATTTTTTTGTTTGTTAGTGTGGGAATTAAGGTTGCAGCTACTGCAGAAAAAATACATAACCCGTGTACGCATACTAACAACCAAAGAAAGCAATTTATTGTTTAAATATGCAATGAGTTTTTACACAATTGACTTTTTTGTTTTTGTCTTGGGTTGTTCAAAAAACAAAGATGCTCGCTAACACTTATTTGAAAGGGGGGGGGGGGGATACTAATTGAATTTACCTTTTTGTTTCACGTATTAAGTGGTATTATGAATGTCATGTTTTAATACAAATAATAGGTATCATCATTAATGTTCGTCTCGATGTAAACGCCTACACTTAATAATTATATATACTTGATTAAATTGTAAAATTACCTCTCTCATTGTTTTCATTTATACTATTTATAAAAGTATTAAACCTTCCAGCTCCTCTCATATTACACATAATAAATAATACATGTATACGTACTTTTTTGTCCCTCGCTTTCGCGAAAGCGAGGGAGGGGAGGGGGCATTAAATCTCACTCATCTGTGTACCTGTCCGTGTGTCAGTCTGTCAGAAAATTTTAACCTTGGTTATGATTTTTGAATGAAAAGCTAGAGCTTTCCTATTTCATATGTACATTACCTGTAATAAGACCTTTCAAAATATACTATGAACTTTGACCTCCTGGCCATGACCTTGATCTTACCCGATGTCATAACTTTTGAATGAGAAAAACTATGTCTTTCTTATTTCATATACATATTACCTGTGACAAGACCTTTCCAAATATACTCTGACTTTTCGACCTCATGATCTTGACCTTGAAGTTTGACCTCTAGTTCAAAAATTTTAATATTGACTATAACCTTTGAATGAGAGAAGTTATGGCATTTATATTTGACATGTGAATTACTTGTGACAAGACATTTCCAAATATGCTATAATTTTTTACCTTGACCTTGAAATTTAATATAATTTTCAAAAGAAAAAAATTAACAAAACTGTTACCTTGTTCATAACTTTTGAATGAGAAGAGAGAGGGCTTTCATATTTCACATGTGCATTACCTGTGGCAAGGCGTTTCTGAACAGTCTATGATATGTGACCCCGTGACCTTGACCTTGAAGTTTGGCCTTATTTTAAAAAAAATTAACATTGGTGATAACTTTTTGAATGAGAGAAAATATGACGTTCATATTTGACAAGTGCATTACCTGTGACGAGACGTTTACGGTTGTGCTGTTATTTGATCCAGTGATTTTGCCCTTCAAGAATGACCTTATTTCCAAAATAAAAATTTTTGCTGATAAGTTGTGATAATTGGGCAGTCATAATTGACATGTGCATTACCTGTGACGTTTCCAAATGCACTATGATTTTTAGCCTTATGACCTCGATCTTGAAGTTTGAACTAGTTTTCAAAAAAAATTAACATTACTGGTAACGTTTGAATGAGAGAAGATAGGGAATTTATATTTGACATGTGCATTACAATATGCCATAAAAAAAATTGCATCCCAACCACTAAGACACCGAAAGCGGGTTACCACAATTCTTTGAATTTTCTCAATGTTTTTTATAATCATAATTTAATCAAGCTTATCATACACACAAGTAGATTATTCCAGTTTATCCATAAACATCGATTGCTCTTAAATTGAATCTGGAGAAGTCGTACAGTAATGATGCCAAAAATGTTGTCATCTATGTGTTGTGTTTTGTAGGGTAGACATGTACTGAATTAAGATTTCATGCTACACTATGCAAGGTTAGCGTCAGAAACTGCTTTCTTCAAACTTACTGAAATGGTCAGCGCTTCTTGTTTCGTTGTTTCTATCTGGATACGATTACGTAAATCTAATATATCAGATATGTGATCCAAAAATGAAACACGTGACCTTTTTTCCTGGGATGTAAAACTCAGATAAAGAGAGGGAAAATAGAGATGTTTTAAAACACTTTAATTAAGAAAAAATAACATATAAATAACATAAACCAAGTTGTAGTGTCAAGAAATGACGAAATGAATGATAGACTCATTCATGGCGTCAGTTGAGTATTTTAGATGACGTTTGATATCTGCCTTCCTGGCGATGGCCTGCCTGCTCTGAATGTAGCCTGTCTCTGAAGTTGCCTGAAGGCTGCTATAGTACCCAGTGGATTGTTCTGAGCCGTCTGGAGGTTCGGGGTATTCGGGACTCGATTACCTGTAGTCTGTTGTGGGGTGTTTCCAGGTCGTGCCTGGAAGGCGGCAAAGTCGGTCTGAAGCCTTTGTAAATCTTGTTGGTTAACTACCATAAGAGGTCTTTGCTGAACAGCAGAATTTCCAGGGGCCCTTCCTTGGGTAGGAAGTGTGTTTATACCATTTGGTAAACCTTGTGTTGGAAATCTGTTGGCCATAGCTCTACGTCTGAATTCGTTGATACGATTGCCAAATCGACTACGTGCCGGTGAAGTGCTATCAGGCTCACCCAGATTAACCGTTCCTTGTAGTCCTCGCTCTGCTATGAATCTACGAACAGCATCCATGTCCAAGTTTTGTCCCTGGGCACGCGCAATTTGCTGCAGATTTATTGGAGGAGAGCCAGGTCTCATAAATTGTCTGATCCGTGGATCGAATGGGGTCCCATTTGGTCTATTATTAAGTCTGGCTTGGTTTTCATTTTCGATGAGAGCCCTTAAAAATCGAGGGTCCATGTTCGGATTTCCAGCACCTGGGACAAATTGATGCCCAGGAAGGTCTCCCGAAAACAGTTGTTCCATACGTGGATCACGCATGCGCCGTGATTCCAGTTGTTCAATAAACCTGGGATCCATTGGCTGACGGGTGAGCGGATCTATAAGGGTTTGTGTCCTTTGTGTGGGTAATCTGGGTCCTACTCTAGGTTGAGGAGGTCTGCCACGATTTGGAATGTTGAGGAATTCGCCATTTGTTCCCATAAAGAGATGTGCCCCTTGCTCTCTAGGATCTATGTTAGCTATACCTCCACTGGGACGAAGACCGGATATTATAGTACAAGTTTCAGTAACGTCTCTGTCATTCACAAAATACCGAGGAGCACATCCTGTACAGGAAGGCCTGCAACGAAAAATCCATTTAGTCCCAACCAATCAGATTCTATTTAGCCTTCTCCAATCAAATCCTACATAATATGTTTTAATTAGCTTCTACTTCACCCCCTAAAAGGAGGTTTCATAATATAAAATGCACCATCAGATCCTGCGGCAAAAACAAACTGTTATGTGTACATTTGAGCATTTGTATGTTTAATGATAAAACTCAAAATTTTATTTGTATATTCATATAATTTTGATTGTACGATTTTAAATTTGTGTTTGAATCTATATAGTTCTTCAAATTTACTTCATTCTTCGCCAATCTGCTTATTGGTACAAAATGTAGCACCCAATGGCATCAAAGGCCTTAGTTATATGATAGTTTTATGATAGTTATACGAGAGTTTTCTTGAGAGGTGCTACAGTGAAACCTAGCTAGCATAACCCCCAATTTTTGAAGACAACGTACTATTGTCCACGGTATTTTCAACTAAAACAAATAACTACTGTATATATTGGGATATTTTCGCCCCCATCTTATTTTCGCCCCTTTCGCTCTTGCTGCGAGTGGCCGAAATTAAGACAGGTCTAATTCAAGGAAGACAGCGTTATCTCTTAAACACAACTGTGTCTTGGCAAATTTAAACAGGGCAAATTGTTAGCAAGTGTGAAATGGCAGAAAATAATAGGGGCGAACATAACCCAGTATACAGTGACTGCTATGACAGTAATTGTACCTGCACTGTGCGTTGATAATATTGAGACAGGCCGATGTCTCACAAGAATTTTCGGGACAGGCAGGTCTACCATTGGGACAATCTGGCGTGGGTCCAGGCCTTCTTTGATTGTTCCTGCGACCAGCGGGACGCCCATCTGAAAAAAAGTAAAAGGTAAAGGTTAGCATACGTAGATTTTGAAACAAAGAATAATGAACTATGTACTAACAAATATAAGATAAAGCTAATACAAGTATATAAGATGAAGGATGAAACAAAATAAAGAGGATCTTTAATGCACATGTGTATGGATATTTGGAAGTTCAAGCTTAAATAAACTGCAATTTTCACACTCCGAATAAAACAACATCGAAAAATAAAGAATTATAATTGTAGCATGGTTCAAGATAAATCTTAAACGCCTTTCTTTAGGAAGAAATTGTTACATCTTAACACATACATGTAAAAGAAAAAAAATCTTCAATTGAAGCCATGGTTTACTAATTTCTCTTATAAATGATTACGGTTCTGCATATCGATGTTGTTTTTAATAACATGTAATTTTCTTACAAGAGGAAATTAAAATATACGAACCGCCATTATCTTTCAAACGGTCCACTAGTTGCTGGACTTGTGTTAAAACATTCTCTGCAAATGGTAACAAGTTTTGGTCATTTGAAGGGGCATTTCCCTCTGACACGGCATTTGTGTTTATTGGCCCGGAAGGTATGTTTTCGGGTCCGGTTGAAGGAACATTAGGTCCCCTATTATTAACTCTTCCCAGAAGTTGCGAGGCAGCTTGAAGTGGATTTCTTCTTCTTCCCATTGGACCCAATCCCAGTGGGTCAGACCCTGAAGGTAGATTTGGCGCGAACGGGCCTCTCGGTAAACCTTGGAATCCTTGCGATGGGCGTCGGGCAAAGGGCGACTGGGGATTAAAAGGAGGGAGCCCAGCTCTTTGGTCTAGTGGCTGACGACCGGAAGTTGGTAAATTTGGGAATGGAAGGCGGGATGGTGGCGACTGTGGATTTTGAGGAGGTAGTTGTGGTGTTTCTGATAGCGGTGGGAGGTTTTGTGTTTCGGTCAAAGACGGTAACTCCGGTGTTTGGGAAAGAGGTGGTAAATCGGGTGTTTGGGAAAGAGGTGGTAGTCCAGAAGAAGAGGAAGCATCCATTGCGTTTGTCTGCGCAGATAATGGTGGAAGATCTGGTGGGTTCGGCAATGGGGGAAGATCAGAGAAAGATGGCAGTTCTGGTGGGGTGGGGTTTTCAGGAATATTTACGGTCGGAGCACTTTTTTTCTGTGAAGCAGCTGCTCTGCTCGATTCCTGTAAGCTCATAGGAATCCCAACACTGGAATCTGTGTTCGAACCGGAAGCGGGTGAATTTTGCTGAGATGCTTGTTGTAGTGAAAAGAAATCTGGAAGTTTTGGCGGCTCATTTTGAGATGGAGAAGATGAAATTGGGTCAGTGTTGATGAGGTCCAATAATGACGTCATATCTGTTTGTCTTGGAGCCCCGGGATCTCCAATACCCCCAAGAGTTTCTGTTATCAGTCTTTCAAGGTCAAGGTTGATGACTTGTTCTACTGTTCCAGTGTCTGTGGCGGATCCACCAGTTTTCCCGTCATTAAATACGATATCAGATGGCGAGTTCTGGGCTACTCGACCTGAGGAAGTTCTTGCTGCCCCCGTCAGAATGGGGTCAGGCTCTGGGGGTGGTGTGGTTGTTGTCTTTGTTGGCTTGCTATCTAACTGTAACATACCTTAAAAAGAAAATGATGAATTTAGTTTATCATTAGAAATTACAATGACACATTTGGATTTTAGCTCATTGGAAATTTAATCCAATGTCTACTGTATTGTCCTGTTTTTTGTGGGGGGTGGTTTTTTTTTTTTTTTATCAAGATCAATTGGACCACAGAAGAAATCATTTAAATTTTGCTTGTTTATTAGTGTAATTAAAAGAATAAAAGTTATAATTTCTACAAATCAAATGGATGGGAATGAAACTTTCCAATTATTTTTTTAATATCTTATTTTAATCCCCTGACTCATATGTCAACTGAAAATTTTGCTTTTTCTTCTTGTTGTAGCTGTGACCAGTGAGTATAAATTCAACTTCAGAGATCATGACAGATTACTGATGTGTAAAAATGTCGATTTCTAGCTATGTACTATTTCAATATAAATATTAACATTTTAAAGGGAAAAAATGAAATGTTTCATTTCAGAACACTCCACTTAGCGAAAAAACATGACATCTTAAACATGAACTTAATTTATTCTATAAAACGATTTGGCTGTGTATTATAAGAAATTAAACATTGATTAATTATTATTTTTCTTAATTGTCAGAAAAAATACTTCATGTGTGTTAAGAAAAGAAAATACACTGATACAATTCTGACGTCAATGAAAAAACCACCTTTCATAGAAAAACCAGGATCTTCGGTGATCAGTAATTTGGTAAGCCTCACCCTTCAATGAAAACGTATTTCTGTTCATTCACGTTTATAAGAATTTATCGTGACAGCTTAACTGTCACCGGTATTTGTCAATATTATGAACAATTGTACCCTTCCTTCCTGGTTAAAGGGTCACCTTGTTTGAACTTGACCAAAAAAGAAAATCTAATCAAATATAGACATTTAAAAACAGGAAACTCTTAATTTGCATTGTCATATTAGTGTGCTTCGACGCTTTAAGATTTTATCTTGTCAATACCTGTCTGTTTTAAAACATAATCTGACCCCAAAACTTTTTTTTTCTTTTCAATGTCCAAGGAGGGTGTTTGAGTAGTGTTGGGAAATATTTATAATAGCAATAGAAAGGTACAAATGCCTTATACTTGCAATTAAATATATATTGATACCTTAACTTTTAAGGATTTATATAAAATTGGATTATATAAAATTATATAAAATTATATAAAATTGGATTCTGTAGAAGACTACGCCAGGCGATGGACCAGACATGAAAAAGAAGACCTTGACACTTTGTCAGAATGGATTAAATGTATCAGATGTATGTTAAAATCGCACATTAAAAGATTGAGAGGCAATATGAAAACCATCTATCCTTCTGTATTCAATAATCCAGAAGTGAAAAAAGAATTAGATAGATTACATGATCAGTACGTACTGGTCCCTGCTGACAAACCAGGTAACAACATCGTCTTTGTTTGTAAGGCTCATTATATTAAATGTATTTTAGAGGAACTTGGATTTAATTCTACAAGTGGTAATCCAACTTATACTCATAGTTCCCTTTCTAAGGAAGAAATTCTTCAAAATCATATGTCAGTTTTGAATATTTTTAATATTCCTAACAACCAAAATGAATTTGAATTACTATATTTATATTGGATTCCGAAACTTCATAAAAATCCTTACAAACAAAGATACATAGCGGGTTCCAGTAAATGTTCAACCAAGCCTCTATCTTTACTCCTCACTAAGATATTAACAGTGGTGAAGGAGAAACTTCAAGAGTACTGTGCAACAATATATTCGAGAAGTGGTGTAAATCAGATGTGGATACTTAAAAATTCCAAGGAACTTTTGGAAAATTTGAAATCACAAGATTTTACCAAAATCAACAGCTTAAAAACTTACGACTTTTCAACTTTGTACACAACCATTCCCCACGATGAATTAAAGTCCAGGCTTTTTGATATCATTGACAGCTGCTTTTTCAATAAAAATGGAACTCGTAAATGTACTTACCTTGTCATTGGTCATTTGCAAAATTATTTTGTTAAAAAACATTCTGATTGTTCACACAAGTACTCTGAAGTTGACATTAAAAAGATGCTTGAGTTTCTGATTGACAATATCTATGTGGTTTTTGGAAACCAGGTCTTCCAACAATCTATTGGAATTCCCATGGGTACCAATTGCGCCCCGTTATTAGCAGACCTTTTTTGTATTCATATGAAGCAGAATTTGTCCAAAATCTTGTACGTGAAAAGAAGAAAACACTTGCTGTGGCCTTCAACTCGACATTTAGATATATCGACGACGTATTGTCAATTAACAATGGCTATTTCCATTCTTATGTCGATACGATATATCCTTGTGAACTTGAGATAAAAGATACCACAGAGTCTGACACCTCTGTTTCATATTTGGATATTTTACTTGAAAAAGACGTTAATGGTAATCTAACAACCAAGCTTTATGATAAACGTGATGACTTTAACTTTTCAATCGTCAACTTCCCTTACTTATGCAGCAATATACCTTCATCACCTGCATACGGGGTATATATCTCTCAGTTGATTCGATACGCAAGAGCATGCTCTACGTATGTACAATTTCTAAAACGAGGTAAATTATTGACAAATAAGTTGATGAAACAAGAATATCAGCTGTCTCGTTTAAAGTCATCATTTCGTAAGTTCTATGGTCGATACAATGACCTTGTCAGCAAATACAATTTATCATTGAGTCAAATGCTGACTGACTTTTTTCACACTAATTGTTAGGCCATTATTTACACACTGAATTGTCGACGGATTTTTCCGTTATTTCCCGATCATGACAAGGAGCACACGGCGGGTGTGACCGGTCGGCAGGGGATGCTCACTCCTCCATGGCACCTGATCCCACCTCTGATGTTTGGAGGTCCGTGTTTGCTCTGCTCCTATTTTGTATTGATTAATGGACTTTTGAGCTTGAATACTGTTCGTTATCTCCATATATTTCATATAATGAACATGTATCACTTTTTGAAAAGTCGATTCCCTTCGGCTGCAAGAAAAACTAAATTATTTTTTCGCCACCTTATGAGTATAATCATGTCAAGACACGTGTCGTATATTTTTTTCAATTCCACTCGGTTTTTACAATTTTATGTGTACAATCATCCGATTACTTATTGTCTGCTTTCAGGGAATGGACATTTGAAAAAAAATCTTTGTACAATAACTTGATGTATAAATTCTTATTCAAATATCTTCATTTTTTAAATAAAGTTGTAAAATGAAATCCGTTTTGACACGAGTTGTGCGAAAGCCAATTAGTGTCAAGCCCCCCTCCCCCCCCCCAAAAAAAAAAATAAATAAATAAAATAAAATAATAATAATAATATTGATAACACCACATTATCCACGAGATAATTATGTCCTAATTACAAGAAAATTATCTCGTTCTACGATATTTTCTTGTATTTTCACGATCTTTACTCATAATTACGCAATAATTTATTGTAATTACGAGATGGTGGTAGGGGTACTTGATGCTAATAGGCTTTCGTGGAGCTGAAAACCTTCAGGAGTGTTATTGATTTTTAAGCTACACTTACTTAAATCTGGGAGCTGACCTCTGACCCGTAGTGATGACGCTGGAAAAAAAAGAGAATTATTGGTTAGATCAGATCAAGTCATACTCTTTGTCCCTAAACTCAGAAATTATTTTAATTTCTTTTATTTGTTGGAGGGAATGGGTGTAGGGGGTTTGTTTTTGTAGTTAGAGTTGTGCAGGCTGCATTGATTTTCTGTGTATTGAAGTTTTGTCATTTATTAAATCATGTAACATAAACTTGTGTTTAACTTATCTACTGTGTTTAGGTTAACCTTTTTCGGAGAACTAACTGGACAATGTTAGAAGACCATTTAAATTAAACTATTTTATACCTCCTGGAAAAAAAAACTCTGTATAAAGTTTAGTACTTAAATTGTTAAGCCCGCGGGAAGAAGTTTCAGTTTTGGGTAAACAACCAAAAATTCCGTGACAAGCAGAAATTCAGGAAGTAGCCTTTTCTCTATAGTATACTATACACTATATATATCAGCAAAATTATTGTGGGAAAGCGGCAACCCCCCCCCCCTCCCCCCTTTTACAGGCCTGCTTGTTTTACATTATTAATGCCGGAACATATTGTTTTGAATGAAAATAGTTTATGGCACAAAAAATATTTCTTTTTTTAGATGGTTCTGGGGGTAATTTGTCGACAATCTACATGTAGCCTCCTTTTTAATGCCTTTTCAATTGAAGCGGTTGTCTAGAATGTAGGCAATCTATTTTCCAGACCCGAAACTGTAGGTCTGAATGTTTTCTGTTATATTTTCCCTCATGAAGATTGTGCCAAAGTATAATATTTTCAACCTTAAAATAAATTTAGGCAATATGAACTGGATTGCCTTAGATGGAACTTTTTTTCTGAATTGATTTTATGAGTTCGCTGTTAAGTACACTTAAATATTCACCATCATGTGTTCATGCACGGATTGCCGAACAACTCAGGTAAAAGATCAATCTATTAAAAAAATATTCACGTCCTCTTCTACGATGATTTGCTGCAATTTTTTAGCTAATGTATGATTCAGAGTGTAATTTAATCATTTTGGATTTATTAATTGAATTAAAGGAATTGACTTTTCCTGACCAATATATTTTTTTTTTTTAGGTCAGTGTAATTTTTTATGAAACTGGTCATGTTTAATTTCTTTTACCGGGAACCCCCTTCAACCAGTTGAGAGTTTGTGTATCTAATAAATCTTCCTCAAGGATTTATTATTTATTGTTGTTGTTGACATTGAAGTCCGTTTTTTCCGCAACGCCCATTTTTGAAATGTACTTTTGTGGATCAACTTTCATTTTGAGTAAAGCGCTCAGAGAAAAAGTTGACTTCATTTTTAGGTAAAAAACAGTGGTTTGATAATAGTTACATGTACATGTAATCAACTTGAAGCTAAATGAATTGTATGACAGTGCAGCTAAGTAGTTTTAAGCATAAAATTCTGCTGTTTCAAAAAGCCTTCATTAATTGAAAGATGTGTTGGGGGGGGGGGGGGGGGATGGGCTCCATATGATCCATTCTTCCATACGGGCGTGCAGTTTATCTATATTTATTCAAATCTTGCTATTTCTTTTTTACACAAACCCATAAGAAAAAAAAAATGATTCAATCCTCAAAGTAAATCAAAGAATTTTTTTAAGTTTAATTCGTTTGTCTTCATGCCATCAAATATGCAATGGAAAAAAAAGGAGAAAGATAATAGTTTACAGACATAAAACGTACATAAATAGTTACTATAATATATTAACACGTTTTGTTTACGCTTTTGATAATATAGTTGACAACTGTTCCTTATACGGTAATGATATGTTGTACAACTTATAATGGATGTTATCTGTCCGGAAGATATGCTTTATTATTAATACGCTGTGAAGAAAAGTGGAAGACTTCATAGAAAATTCCGTTTAATGATACGATACTTTAGAGTCGGAATTCCGAAAGTATAGCAAATGGCACTTATTGAAACAAATTACGATGAAATGTTCGCATCTGTATAAGATATTGAAATATTCTTAGCTCAACAGATCTCTTAAGGGCATAGAACGCTCCAACTTTGTCTGTTTTATTTATTTATTTTTTTTTATAAAATGAAATGTCAAATCAATTCGCTTGTGCGAAAACGCCTCATTTTAATGCATATGATTGATCGAAATGGATTAGAATTCTGACACAATGATTCAATCAATAGATACATATTGTCATGATCACACGAAACAATTATTCTATATTGAAGAAAAAATATATTATTTCATTCAGTTTGATTTCAATTCATCTACAAACTAGAAGTCTCAAATGATTGAAAGATGAATGCACAAAATCCTCCCAACCACCCACCCCCTTCCTCAGCCCCCCAAAATACAGGTATATTTTTCCCCAGCTTAAAAAATCTGATAAACTAAATTATATTTAAAATCATAAAACTCTGAATCATTAAATGACTAGTACGTTCTTCATTAGTAATATCGTCATGCATAGTATCATTTTTTGTCTATTGGAAATTATAATTAAAACTTTTTTAATAAAAAATAATCAACTTTATTTATGACCGCAATCAATTAGAGAAGGTTGATTTTACGGGCCACCATTCAGTAAGCGATTTTAAGATGATCATTTATTATATATTTTATAAAGACGCCTTTTTTGACAAAAACTGGTTTTATAGCGTGCATTAAGTAATTGCATTAGGTAATTGATTAGGACACTTTATTTCAATATTTAAATAAATCCACAATGCAGGCACAATGTTCATGTATATGGTTAAAAATGATTAATTAGCATGCGCACGTATGTATACTGCCTTCCATTTATTTACACTGGCATGGACACAGTGTAGCCTGATTAATAAATTGTTCTAAAAAATCGAATTTTGATGTTAAATAATGTTTAAATTGTACTTTTATGTTTTAAAATGCATTTTGGGGCCCTTGATGTCTCACAGTGGCCGATCTAGGTGGAACCCCCTACATTTCAGTTAAGAAATTTTGTAATGAGAACTCACTTCAACCCCCCCCCCCCTTCCCTGCTTCCTAACTTAAAATTCTGGAATTGCTAAAAAAAAAATCTAAAAATTCAGTAAAAACCGTACATAAATACTTGATTGATGCATCTACGAATTTATCTGTATGTCATATATTTTTTGTAAAAGGGTTCTTGAAAGTTCGTGATACAAAACATGGATTAGAACCTTTTGAACCTTTACACTTATTAATTACAGTTTCAACAGCGATCCATCAATGTGTCAGTTTTTATTATCACTGTATTTTAATTAATCAGCGGGGAAAGTTCTACATATTCTGCTGATAGAAATAACAAAGTGGCGGTTATAGATAATAGGAATTTTTGAGCACTTAGTTTGAAGAATGGAGAGAGAGAAAGAAAGAGAGAGAGCGTATGCAGAATCAATTCCTAGTGCGAGTTTGACAAGTTTTGCCTCCCCCAGCCTACTCATGCACTTGATTCATCATTTAAAATGTCAGGTTATAAGATATATCCTGTTTCTCGCCTTGTACCTTTAGCAAAGGCTACTTCATTTTTCTTATTTAGGGGGATTTTTTTTTTTCAATGAGAATACTTAAGATAATTAAAATACACAAACTTAATAAATAAAAATGCCAAATTTTAACGGAAGAATTTTAACCTTTAAATATTGTTCTGTGAGAGATAGAAAAGGATGTCATACTACCACACAAAACTTAGACTTTGACATTTACATTCAAAACGTTAAAGTGAAAGTCATATATCATTGCTATAAGAATTCATGGCCATGTCTGGCATTGTGATTTATTTGAAGGAAAACGACACAATACCAGGAAAATATGAAAGAAAATCAGTCTTTTTCTGCCATTTGTCATTGAGAGGCCGGATGTATGAAGCGTTAAGCATTAACAATAAGGATAAAGGGGAAAGTAGATTTCCTTGCTTAATTCCCCTTGAGCGCTGATGCAAGAATTAACTAATGCCTTGAAAGTGATCGAGAGGGTGAAAATTTTGTTTGCATTAATCATTCGTTCTTTAACATGTAGAATATATCCAAGGCCATCTATTATGAGTTACTAAAATTATGTTTCGCAAGTAAATCAGAATTTAATGATTTCAAATCTATACAATTAATAATATCTTCCAATTCAATTAATTCTAAAATTTGAAAGGATCAGGTGAAGTTTGACTCTGGCTTAAGCGAATTTTGAACAGCCACTATGCATCGTTTTCAATTAAACTGTGGAGAGAGAGAGAGAGAGAGAGAGAGAGAGAGAGAGAAGCAAGGCGGATCTATGATTTCTATGTTGGGTGTTTCTTACATATAAAAAAAGTTTAATAAAAACAGAAAATCGCAACATTTGTAGTTGACATGAGTTTAATAGCATACGTTTTATCGAGACATAATTTTAGGGTATAGTTGGGGACTGATTAAGCTTTTGTCTCATATTTACCCATAATCATATTTGTGTGTCTCATTTTTTCATAGCTATAAAAGAAATGAAGGATATATTAAGGCTCTTTAAAGTTAGAATACAATCTTCACCATCACTCATGTTGAATGATAAAACTTCGCAATAAATTAGCCAAAAATACATCTCAATTGCTTAGAATAGTTTCTTTGACTAAAAGTAGCAAGGTGTATAGTTATTCTTCAAATATTTATTTATGAGTACAAAATTAAAACAGAAAACTTGTCAAGAATTCAAATTAAGAAGCTTATTAATAGAACATAAATCTGTATAGTATCTACAATCTAAGATGATTGATAAATCTGAATTTACTGGACATTAAAATCGAACAAAAAATATTTCCAAATTGTACAGAAAAAATAGATAATTATGAAAAAAAAAAATAAATAAAAATCGTGTATTTACTTACCACATAATGATATTATCAAGAGTACAAATTTATGCGCCATCTTTCATCTGCGTTGAAAGGTATAATGGTAATAATTACTATACATGAGTTATTGAAGCGTGAACCCGATACGCATGGATTAGTTAACCTTTAACCAAAGAAACAGTGACGCGCAGTACTAGATTTGACAATAGGAATTGACGATATATAGAGAGAAAGAGACGTGTTCTAATTAGTCATGATGTGTGTTAATTTCCTTCAAAGATCCAAAGATAAATTGTGGTTCGTCACACCTTGTTGCGTGTATTTTTATTTACGCGGAAATTCGAAGTTCTGATTGGCGGATCTTAGTGGGCGTAATCGGCGAGCAATGAATTAAAAGAGGTTTTGAAGAGACTTAAGAAAGAAAGATATTTATTAATCATCCTTTATTATTGAATAGAAGGATACTTTTGAGAATATTTGGAAATAGGATTAAAACACGGTTTTTTCCCCCTTTAAATTAGTTTTTTTTTTCTAATGTCATTCTGAGATTCTTCCCTTATATGCTTTCCACACATTTTTAAAGTTAGAAATAGATGCTTATTTATTTTTTTCATTTATTTGTTTATTTATTCATTTATTTATTTATCTATTTATTTATTTATTTATTTAGAGGAACTGACTATGAATGTACATGTATACACTATGGAAGAGAAAATATATCATTGTATTATACAAAAAATGTATACAAAAAAGTGTACCAATGTGTCAAAGTCCAAATATTTATTTATTTATTTTTTACATTATAAAATTTATATTATTCGTTTCGGTTAAATTTTAATTTCAAACATTATAACCTTTTTTTTTCTACGGAACAAGATACATATATTTCCTTTAGACTGTCAAACAGCAGACTTTTTGGCTTGCCACCCTCTTTTCCGATTCTAATGATAAAGAAAAAATACATGAAATTCTTTTAGAATTTGGGCCTTTCTTTCTTAATTTTCTCCCACTCCCACTTCTATAATGACCTTAACTTTGAGGGTCTACTAAATATTTATCAATTTTAATTCCTTTATTCTTTTTAAATAATTTTATATCACCTTGCAAATAACTTTTCATTAATAATTCAAGAATATCGATGGCAAAATATTTTTATCCATCTATTCATGTCTTTATATTGGTTACTTAACAATTCTAATTAAAGAAAGGTCGATACCTGTATACTAAATGTCCTTTTAGAACTCTCTAGATCTCTTTTTCATTCTCTCTCTCTCTCTCTCTCTCTCTCTCTCTCTCTCTCTCTCTCTCTCTCCCCTTGGCACAAAATAAAAGAGGGGGGGGGTCCAACCCCCGGAGCCTCTGGCCCATATATGTTGTACATACAATATAATTAAGTGTGATATATTTTCTTTACAACACGAATTTTTGTTTTGGTTTCTATGCATTTCAATAATGTTTTCAAGTGGCGCAGTGGTAGAGCGTCTGCTGTAGTGTCGCGGAGTAAGGAGTTGATCCTTACGTCGCGGGTTCGAACCCCACTGTGGGACGTGGAGACCGATCCTTCGGATGAGACCGTATAAATCGAGGTCCCGTGTCGCAGTAGATGCTGGCACGAAAAAGATCCCTCAATGCTCAATGACCCTGAGTGCCAACTTTAGGTCAAAATTTGCAGCTCTCAACCGGAAGTGGTGGCGTCTCCATATGAGTGCAAAATTCTCGAGAAGGACGTTAAACAACAAACAAACAAACAAGTGTTTAGAATTTGCCTCATTTATAATGGATCTTAAATGGAAAAATTCTTTAACCTTATCAAATTTGTGGGGGAATGGTTGAAAAGCCCTTACACAAGATTCGTCTCCTCCCCTCCCCTCGCAAAACATGGACCATGCCCTCAATTTCAGTTATAAACATGTGCAAACCATCGATATTGATTTGAAATGCCTGTAATTGTGTCGCTGATTATTTTTCTTTTTTGTATCTATGTTACAAAAGACGCATAAATTAGTCTTAATGAGAACTTTAAAAAATAGTAAGAGATTTCTAGCTTAATTTCAAAGATACTATTGTGAGACGCTTCATCATCATCCTATATGCATTTTAATTCGTGCATTTTATCCTATTATCTTATAGCTGCAGAACTGTAGCTCTCCGAAAGAAAAAAATTGACAGACCAGAGAGCTACAGTGCCACCCATAGAAAAAAAATTGTACATTTATTGCGCACAAAAAGTGCGCTGTTTCTCGATTTATTTCTTCGTATTTTTAAACTGCAATCTCTAAATATTACTGACTGTGTGTTCCTAACACATTTTTGCACTATTCACACATCAAAACATTTCCTATAACCGTTGTTAATAGCCCTACTGGGCCTGAAATTAAGACAATCCAAAATTTCACTTGTTAATACTGCCATTTTGGGTGGCTAGACAATTCGGCCAAACGCGCTTCGTAAAGATGTCAACTACAAGAGTAGTTGATAGACGTCTAAGGAATTTTTTGAAATAGAGCTTTTTGTGCAGTTGAGGTAAGAATTTGGAGAAATAAATCAAGAACCGAGGGCAACTTTTTATGCGCAATAAATATACAGTTTTTTCTATAGTTGGCACTGTAGCTCTCCGGTTTGTCAATTTTCTTTTCGGAGAGCTACAGTTCTGCAGCTAAAATTCATTCTTCTTTTTTTTTCATGTTTCTTTTTTGATCGTTCTGCATAGCAGCTTGTATATTCTGCATATCCCAATTTCAAGCACAACATTTCAGTTTGTTTTTTGTGTGTCCATTCATTTCCATGCACAATGACGTCACCACTCAGTCGTAGAGTGCTCGCTCCGTGATCGGAAGGTCGTGTGTTCGAATCACTTCCGCGACTGACCTAAGTTGATAAAAAATAGGTAGCAACTATTCCTTCGCCAAGCGCTCGGCACCTTGAAGTGAAAGTTGCGGGTCCTTCGGATGATACCTTAAAAACCGAGGCCCCGTGTCACGGTAGGCGTTGGCACGAGAAAGAACCCTCACTGCTCAATGACCCTGTGTGTCGAGTAAAGGCCTAAATTTGAAGCCCTTCAACGGTATATGGTGACGTCGATCTCTATATGAGTGAAAAATCCTCGAAAGGGACGTAAAACAACACACACACAATCAATCCCTGTACAATCAGGCCGGGGCTGTCTGCTGCAATATTTGCCCTTTCACATAAAAATTTTTCTAGTGGAATAATGATCCGATGCTTTTCGTCAGAAACCTACGTCGAATGAAAATGAGTGGTTTGATCCAACAGTAATTGAGCCACACAGTATGACCCCTCCAAAAATGGACTTAAAGGATGATTTTAAGAACAAGTATAGCCTTATTACTTAACTTACCCCCCCCCCCCAAAAAAAAAAAAAAAATTAAAATGTCTTTGCTTGCAAAAAGTACCATTTAAATATTTATGAAAATACAGAATCACTTTTAATAGTTGCTGTGAAAATAATTTGATAATTTAAGTTATTGAAATTTTCTTTTGGTTGTTTTCTCTCTGATTGAAAGTGTTATAAAATTGTTAAATCGTAGGTAAATTAGATAACTATCATATCGGATCTGCCAGCAATGGCACGGAATATGAGTTCCATTTCAATATAATTCACTCACAATGTAGTGTTGCACAATTTGGATCTGAGCGAAATATGAAAATGGTGAGATTTCCAGACTGCCTTACGTCAAGCAAATGGCCTTCAAAGCTCTAGCAATTATGTAAAGACTGTGTGTTTTATCCATGAACAATGCTCGGTTTTAAAACTTTCTAAAATATTTTATTAAATAAAATAGATTTTAAATAAAAAATTGGAAAGAAAATGAAAAAAACCCATCCTGCTCAAAGTCCTACTGTCACCTCCCCGTGGCGAGCAAGGGGAAAAAGGTCTTATGAATGTATATGTTGTATTTTAAATCAGTCTGTACATACATAAGCCGCTGGCTAACGAAAGAGGCAATGTAGCGGTAATGTATACTTTAAAATGTAGCTGTAATGTAACCTTTTTTTGTAGCGGTAATGAGTACGTATTTGTAATGACTACTTTGAAAATATAGCGGTAATGATATGCATCCACGACATCTTCATTGCGTTGTTCAAAGAGACCTTCAATCAATGTAAATTTTCACATTAGGCATTTTCTACCGATCACAAATGAGAAGTACAGAGTCTGAACCCTCTGAATACCTTTTTCCGAGGAAGATTTTCGCAGTTACATTAATCAAAATAGTATTAACTCTTATGCAAAGGATCATTACCACAGTACTATTTATCAGTTACCTTTCCAAATTGCTCTCTGATGATAAAAATATCAATGTAATTTTTTAAAAATAAAGACAAAAACAAAAGCCAACAGTTTTCATTTATAATAGATATTTTAATCAAGATAAAAAAGATAAAAAGTCAAATAGAACAAAACAATGAGGTGAAAAAAGATGTGGAGGAAATTCGGATGATATGTATGTTGAGACACGCCCTCTGGTGAGATTGTTTATTGTTTAAACTTTGGGATAGCTGGCCTGAGTGGCAATTCCGCACATGTTCCGCCTGTTTCTGGCCAACATAAAGTATCCGTCCATTCCCCAAGATTCACCCCAGCTATAGAAAAAAAGGAAGCGTTACTTATAATCATGTTAAATACAAAAGAGGACGACCTTTGATTCTTGGGGGGAATGGGGTTACAGATTTTTGAGATGAATATGAAAATTATATACCCCCCCCCCCCGGAATAGAGTTTCGGGTTTTGGCAGTCAACCTTGACTGGTGCGCAATTAAGCCCCCCCCCCCCTTCACCCTCCGTCCACGAAATATAGTTTTAAAGTTTGACAGTTTTTCGTTCTTGTGCCTGGCAAACTTTTCTAGTGAATTCGTCCATCTTTGAAAAATAAATATATTCCAACCCCTTCTTTAGAATCAAATGGTCGTCCCTTAAAGCATTACGGATTATTCGTTTTCGGATCCACTAGACGGGAAAATAGCAAATATTTTTTTTTTGTCATGAACAGAAAGCTACTAATCAGCAACTGACAACATATGCCATTAACATATTAATATCTATACACAAATTAATAACAAAAATTAAGAATGAGTTACGTCATACCTATTTTTAACAAGCCAATAATCTTCGCTGCTTTCAGTTCCATAACCAACAGCTAGCACACCATGATCAAGTTTTACAGAGCTGCAGGCTGGTTCGCTGTAAACTCCCTTCTTGTACAGCTGGAATGACTTATGACCAGCGTCCATAGCAACAGAAATAGGGCCGACGGTAGCAACAGCTTCTTGTAGTTTGCTTTCCGATTGATGGGGAATATCAACATATCCAGTGTCTGTGGCGCCTACATTGCTCTCCTTGAATCTGCAGAATCCGTCCTAACATAGGAAAATAAATAAAACGGAGTTGAGGCGATTCGGTTTAAAGGCTGAATACATAACGTTATAAAATACACCCCGGAAACACTCTGTCGAGTTCCGGCCACAGGCCTTTAGAATGCTTTTATCCGACTGACAAAACTGGGGGTATTGAAAATAAAATTGCGGTATGGAACTTCTCAGATAGGGTACACAATTTTTTCCAATGTAATATTTATGAATCAAATGATTTAAAATATTGATATTTGATAAATTTTCTATTCATATTTATTCACATACATGTATAAACAATTTCCTTTACAACCACAGTTTATTCCAAAGAGTCCTTTCGGGAAAAAAATAATATTAAAACGCTGTACAGTCATGTTGTTTATAAATAGAAAAAAGTTCCGATTGGAGGAAATCTTTCCGGAATGTATGATATTTTTTAGAGTTTTAAAAACTTAACCGCCAAAAATGTTGTTGGTTACACAATACTTCTTAAGACCATATGATCAAATCAGAGTTTCGTAGAGGATGAGTGCTATTAAGCAAATGTTTAGAGAGAATCGAATAACTTCCGGGAAAAAACTTGTCCCCTCGTACCTTTTTTTTAAAAAATAGTGTCAATGACCAGGGGTTCAATCTATTTTGAGTAAAGAAAAAAAGGTTCATTGTGGAATTGATTTCAGCATACATGTATTTTGTGAAGTATAAGGGATTTTTGGATGAACTTTGGTTGTAGAATTAATTATTTATATATGAATAGAAAGGAATACTAGATAATATAACAATTCCAAATTAGAGACATATTATTTTTGACGATGAGAAGTATATATAGAAAGCAACGACCTGCATTAAGTCTTATCGAAAAATACGTCACATCCCCTAAAATAAATAATGGTTAATACCTTAGCTGTGTATGGGTAAGACTCCTCAGTATCAATTCCTTTGTTTTTCTCAATGTATCTGAAGGCATTGTCCATCAATCCGCCCTTGCATCCATGGTTTCCTAAAGTTGAAGAATTTATTTTCATTCTAATTTTGTTCATTTAAATTACTTTTTAGAAGAAGTGACTTAAATCTGACTTAGATAGACATTCAGATTTTTTTTTTAAATAAAAGAAGAATATTGTGGATAACTACAATTAGATACACACTATTCCCAATCAGACTCTCATATGTACAAATAAAGGAGTAACAAACACTACAGAATAAACCAGACCCGACCCCCTATAAATCTCTTTTAGATCCGCGCCTGAATATGCATGGCGTGTTTATACTACCTTCTCTCTGTGAGCAGTCGACGAGATTCTGTTCGGAAAGGGAAACCAGTTTATTGGTGGCCTTGAAGTGTTGACCTTCAAGTGACCCAGTGGCGGAGAAAGACCAGCAGGACCCACAGTGACCTTGGTTTTTGACATCTGTGACGTAACCTTTGTCTCTCCAATCGACCTTGTCGGGAAGGTCACCAATGTTGCTAGGCGACATGTACATTTCTCCCTTTGTTCTGTTCGCGTTCATGATGTATCCATTCATAACAGCCCGGAATTCAAAAATGGTCTAAATAAATTAGAGAAAAAAAATATAAGTTAAACGAAAAATTTAGAAAGCATTCATTCTGTTAATTTCAAGTACAATTAAAATAAAGAGTTGTAGAAGAACAAGATAAATAAGATTTAAGTAGGAGTCTTTTCAAAAAGTACGGAACATATGGGGCCTACTTCGGGTCGTAAATTCGCCTGTACAAGTCAATTAATCAAAAATCAATGAGCTATAATTGGTATTGTAGTAGAGTTTAAATTCCAGGCATATTTTAATATTTCAAAATATTTTGAGAAACAATAAAGCTGATAATAAAATGACTGATACATGATTATTCGAATAATAACAAATATATCGTTCTCAGACTAGTTTTAAGAGTCATTGACTCTTTCCATAGGTCAGAAAGTTGGGAAATTTTGGGGGTTGGGGTCATTTCCGGAGATTTTACTCACCATGTCGGCATATTCGTTCTCCCCTAACCAGTACGTATGCTCTCCGCGGTCAGCAGCCAGGTTGTGCTTCTGGATGTGACGTACATTGTCCTCCCAAATCAGGCGCCTGGAACAGATAAAAAGTAAACGTGAATTTATTGATTTAAATTTTTAGACAATTTCAAAGATTAAAAAATATAATACTACATTATTTAAAAAAAAAAATCACATATCTTTTCATTTAGAAAAAATGCTCAATTATTGAAAGTCCGAACTATTGTCTTTTCGTTCTAAAAATAATAGGGCACAAAATTTCATCATTCCGATCGACGGAGAGCTCCCCTACTGCAATTTATGTTTTCACTGGTTGGAATTTAATAACCTCGACGAACAAAATTAATATTCTTGCAGGGAGTAATCCTACTTTTGAGAGGACTTTTTTTTAAGCCTTTAGATGAAAAAAAAATTAAGCATTTCTCAGTATAGACTGTGTTGTGGTGGATATTAAAATTCGGCTTCTCTTTACTGTTTTGAGAATTTTCAAAAATTCTTTCCTACAATTTAGAAACAAGCTCACCTGAGTTGTTCTTCTTCCGGTGCGTAGTTCTTTTTATGACCTTGCTTGTATAGGACCCAATCGTTATCCAGATCTTGGTTGAAGATCGGCGTAGTGAAAGCTGCCACCAACAAGCTTGCGATCACCAACAGAATTTTCATCTAAAGCGAGAAACTCAATATTAAGTATTCATAATGTTCGTACGCACAAGACCTTCCAAGTAAACATTGCGTTTGATTTTTTAATACATTAAATCAAAAATAGATTTGAAACTTCAAATTAAATTGATATTGCTGTCCCAAAAAATTCTGCGTCTCTTAGAATAAAATAACTTTTGCTGTGTTTTTTCACTACGATAATTTAGCATTCCAAAAAGTACAATATTTATCTCGCCCTTCGGGCTCGGTCAATATCGTACTCCTCGGGTAGCTAAATCATCGCATTGACATCATAAACAGCAATAAAGAAACTTAAAATGTAAATGCATGTAACGAACCAGAACACAGTTTTGAAACGCAACCTTTCTGAGTATTCTCTGTGGTGTTTCGTAATAAAAATGCATTATCTTTTCGCAGACTCAAAAGTATGTCATTTTCTTCTCCCACTCTTTATTTTTTCAGATTTAATTATATAATCATTTAATTCATGTATTCAACAACCACTAAAACGCAATCTTAATGGAAATGAAATTTAAAAATGAAAAATAACCCTCTATGAATGCAAAAAATATATCATTATATTTTTTGGTAAAAAAAAATTACAATACAAATTTTTCTATCTCCGGGTAGGTACCTTACCTTGGTCTCCTGGGGAATAGGTAATCATTGTTGGGTCTTTTTTCCTTAAATAGATACCACCGCGCTTGCGCGTGACGAGTCAGCTGACGCCTCGTGTTTTCCGTGCGGTTAGATAGCAAGCACCTGATGGCCAAGTGTAAATAATTGTAATATTAAAGTTAATATTCAAGAGTTTTTATTTTGAAAACTTTCTCATGGGGTTATAGGTTAAATGCCCGATGTCGTGATACAATCATCGACGGCTTAATCTTCCATGTTGTTATGGAATTTCCCTTTTTTGACTGATAAATCAAATGATAAAATTTCCCTGTATGTAGGATACTGTAAATAGTGGGGTTTTATGATATTTATTTAATATTAGAGTAATTTTAAGTTTTCCTGATTGAAATAGTCAATTTCCTCCTTCATGTTTCCGAGTCAGAAGATCTTAATCTTCCGCACTTTACTGATACAAGCTTCCACTACAAGACAAGATTTGATCCAAAGGTTAACTTCAGTTTTCAATCACGAAGTCACTTCTAAATCCTTCAGGAAAAGTTATAATTTGAAATGCATGTGATTAAAAAAAATATGACTGTACATGTGTTAGTCGCCTATCGATCAATGTTTTGAACACTGAGGAAAAATATCGGTAAATGTTTCTTCTTTTTATTTAATAGATGTTTGTCTTTTTACATAATAGTAGAAAATAAATGTTTGATTAATGTTTAAAATCACTAAACTTGATTCAATTTTTTAAACTAAACACTGAGTTTTTTTCTTTATACATTTCTCAACATTTTCTTGATTCTTTGAGAGAAATTAATCTCATTTAAAAACAAAAAGTTTAATTTTATGGATATAAATTTTTAATATCGTAATCATTGTTTCCTATGGAGTAAAGAAACAATTGTTTTTATGAAAAAGTTGAAGATTACGAACAGTGATTTTTCTGCATTTTTATTTGTCCCGAAATTGGCTTGCAAGGACAATCGGATGTGACCTATTTATTTTGGGGGGTTACAAAGGTCATATATCCCCTTACGACTCATTGATTGCAACAAACCCCTGAAACTTCTCAACAACTCGCCTTATCAGAACAATTAATGATAACAGAGGGTCCACCGAAAACAACGACAGGCATGTTGAGGAAAATTTATCATCCAAATATTTGTTTAGATTTACGAAATGAAGGATACAGTGTTAAGAAAATTCGGGTCAGGAGATTTAGAACGCATTAGTTCAGAACTTGTCTTCTAGTATTATCTTACGAAATTTAGAACATAGTGAACTCTACACACTAGTAATTGAAAACTTCTATCCTCGATGGAGGAGTACACATGTATTGCAGATATAACGCATAACGAAACTGCCGTTTTAGAATGACAAAGCAGTCTTCTTACGGGTTAATAGGGACATGAGGGAGGTAATGATCCATCTTCGTATGACCAACTTTTTTTGTAGCATACAAAACAAATGAAGAAATAATTTGGAAAAACTAATTTTTAAATTATTTTTACTACTAGTATTAACATCGTTTTTATTTGGTTTGTGTGTTTTTGAATACATATCGGCCAACATTGCATTTTTGCTTTGTTGGAGGACCTTTTACAGGTGAATTTACTTCACAAACAATGAATTATTACCAAATAATAATGCAATTTTTTTTTAATTAAAATTGACTATGAATGCAGTTGTACCGGTACATCGGCTTTATCAGTCACGTGACAGAAATATACATAGACGGTCACATGACTCCCTTGCGATCTAATTTCACAGTTTCCCAAGTTTACCTGAGGAGCGGACGCTTTCAATTTTCAAGGTTTGTATTTGATTTAAAATTACAAACATTCATAATTCTCATATATATACGTATATATTAAATGATGCGTAAACGATACAAGATTAATTAACTTTTTACATTAGGATTCTACATGAACAGACTAATAAAGTATGATATTTTGTAAGTACAGAGGGAAAATGAAAACTCTAAGATGAACAGAAAAAATATGAATGAACAAGTAAAAATAAGAATAAAGAATGCAGTATGTTTTTTTTTTTTTTAAATAAAACATATATTTTTATATTAAAACCAATACCTTTATATTTGAAAAATTATTCGGATAAAATAATTAAATGACAATTAAGTTAAATATCATTTAAAAGTTCTGGCGCACTTATCATTAACACATGATAATAATAAAAGTGATGTACACAATAATTAGGTCTTACTTCAATAAACTTCTTGTTCTGATAAGATAGCCAAATTGTCATCGGTACAACCAAGGTATTCAGTAATTGATTCAATGTGTGCCAGATTTATTTGCACCCCCCCCCCACCCACCCACCCCCGAAAAATGAAAAATTTAGCCGATTTGATATTTTTCATTGAATTATTTGATGTTTGGAAAGAAGATCTGAAAGATGAATGTTAAGCATTTTGAAAGATAAAGACAACCACATGTATATCATTATCCTATGTACCTAAACTTGCATAGAAATTCGTTTGATACATTTATTTGATTTTATAAGCTTAAGAAATAATAATATTTCAAAGGGTTTATGTGCTGGAATGGTTAGGCTTGATCTGCAAAAACATTTGACACTATATTTCATACTTATCATGTGAAAAAAATCAAAGCAATAGTTGTTTGTCTGAGAGAAAATATGCATAGGACAATGGAATATCCCCAGATACTGGTGTACTGCAGGGTAGAATTCTAGGCCACTTATTATTTTATATAATTGTCAATGACATGTTAACTAGTGTTCACAGTTGATATCGTTTGTGAATTTATTTTATATGCTGATTACAGTGCTATTTTATTTGCACACCTTAAAACAAAAATTAGAAATTATCATAACAAAAAAGTTCAATTTGCTTTGAACTGTGTTTCACAAAAAAATGAATCTGTTAATTATGAAGTTCTCAATCAATTACATTTATTAAGTATTAAAGTTTCCCAGCTCAAAGATACACGCAACGTAGTTTTAAACTTTTTTCCTACCTTTCTGTAATTTGAGAGCTCCAAAAAAGTTTTTGAACCTTATGATGTTGTATACCTCCTGAAAACAAATTTTATGGAAGTTTCAGCTGAAATTGTATATTTGGTTTTTTTGTTTCCTTTTTAAGGAAAAGCAAGATTTTCATTATGTTCAGTTTCTTTGCAAAACATTGTTGACGTATGCTGAAAATTGTCTTAAAAATCTTATCGTACTATGAAAATGTCCTGAAAAATAACCAGCACATGTAGATTACAGTTTTGTTAAGTACGTTGCCTATGTCCTTAAACTTAACATATACCATACATTTGATATTAAGCAAGGACAACCTCCAGTGTATTTCAAGTATGTTTTTTGGTGCCAAACGTAATATTTATATCTTTGATCTTATCATGTCCGTAATGTATTGTATCAAAATGTCTATAGTATATACAAAAATATATCTATCTAATTATATCAAGTTTATTCAGAATATATAACTTTGGGCAATACAGCCCATCAGTTTATAAAAAATAATATATAATGACAAAATTTAAGACTCAATGAGCCTTAATTGGGGGGGGGGGGTGGGGGTGGGGGGGGGGAGTGGGGGGTGAAACCCCTGGTCAAGTGTTTCTCAGTCCCACAGTTCCACTCATTTATAGTATGCAATACAATAATATACCGAATAAAGCAGTACAATACATAATTCAAAGTTATAATACAATATATAGCAATCCTATTTTAATGTACAGACATCTGAAAATATAAACACTACACAAATAGAAATTAGGTTAACCTGATAGCAGTGATATTCGACTTCGTGTTGTTGTCATGTTTTGACTTTAATTTATTTCCACCCACCCAAGTAATTAGAACATATTTATCTGCAATTCATGTGTCATGATTGTCAGATTTAATCTAATATGAAAAAGTCACACGGTATTCCATAAGTTATGAAAACATGATAATTATCTTCAGATATGTTTAACGTTTGATGCAATAACCAATAACATCATATGATAAAAGTCACATGGTATTCTATAAGTCGTATGAAAAATGACATCCATGCAATTCACATGGACTTCACATGATAAGACCAGTCTATAAAACAATCATATTTTCTGTATTGAAATCATGTTGCAAATTGTTGCTCAACCTTGTGATTTACTATCCAGATGTTGCGCTTTGCTGTCGTAGCTGCTCTGGTTGCGGTTAGTTTTGCTCGTCTGCCAGTAGCGGAGTTGGACACTGAATGGCAACTCTTCTTGAAGCAACATGGCAAACAGTATGGAGCGGAAGAGGAAGCTAGGAGGTACATGTAATACTAAAATCTCTCAATGTTAGAATGTCCGGATTCGTAATATTTGTTAATTTAAAGATTAGGTTTTTATATGCAAATAAATATTTTCCACGAAAAATGTAGAATTTTTTCACTTTTTCTAAATATGACCACACACATTTTCATTGCTCGAATATTTGAAGATGAAAAAGTGCTCGCGTTGCCATAATCATTTATCATTTTAAAAGCTTTATTTGTATGTGATGTAGGCGTGTGATCTGGGAAAGCAACTTAGACTATATCCAAAAGCACAACTTGGCGGCCGACCGTGGGGATTTCACCTTCTGGCTGGGAATGAACGAATACGGAGACATGGTGCGGAGAGAGAGAGAGAGAGAGAGAGAGAGAGAGAGAGAGAGAGATATTACCGTATAGCGGGAAACTTTGGCTTATTTAGCGGTTTTGAAATACGCCGCTAGAATTTTAATCGCTAAATTTGCACCCTTGCGTATTAGTACTTAAAAGAAGAAAAATAACTTTGATCAGTCTGTTGTTAAAAAAATTACCTTTTTTCTGGTATTGTTTTTTCCTTGCGTAAATCTGTATTCAAACGTATATTTAACGTACTGGAAACTCACCTAGAAGGTGAATTTCCTCTCTTTTTTCAACTTCATGGTACTCTGTGTCCGCCAAAAAAAGTTCCGCCAAAATTATTGGCATTCCTTTGAGCAAGCACAACGCCAAATTTTACACCCGCTAAAGAAACCCTCTATACAGTATCTCTGCTCTAAGTTCTCACATCTAACAAAAGAATTATTGTTCTACAATAGTCATGGGGTATATTTAAGGAACACATTGTGTATAACTAGGAATATCTTTTTAGACAAATGAGGAATTCAGGAAGACTATGAATGGATACAGAATGAGGAACGGTACAAGCGGGGCGTCCCTCTATCTTCCTCCATCTAACATTGGTGATCTCCCCGATAGCGTCGACTGGAGGCCAAAGGGATACGTCACCCCCATCAAGAACCAGGTATTACAGCCAAGAGCTAAACAAAGCAATATGAATAAACTTGGGACTCCCATCTTCATATTCAAGCAAAAAGATGTTTTACTTACGCCACTACTTATCTGGTCTTTCTATATTTTTCATCTGCCATGTTGATTTAAAATCATTAATGAAAGAAAGTATCGTATATTGTCTCCAAATAGTTATTCCAAGGCTGCTTGCACTTTAGAAATTTCCAAAAATTAACAATACAAGATTCTGCTGGAACTAGATTTGATTTAACGGCCATCTTTTCTTAGAATGCAGACAATGACAAACTTTGAATATTTGAAAATATGACAGCATGATAGAGAATTCGAATTGATTTAACCGTTTTCCCCATTTTTGTACTTTCAGATCACTTTTTATCTTCAGACATGTTTTTGTTCTCACTTTAGGGTCAGTGTGGATCATGTTGGTCCTTCTCAGCTACAGGGTCACTCGAAGGTCAGACTTTCAAAAAAACTGGCAAACTGCCATCTCTGTCTGAGCAAAACTTGGTCGACTGCTCACAGAAAGAAGGTAAAGAGAAGAACAACTGAATAACTAACTTCAATAATCTTAATCAACCAACCGAACAATTGAGCATTGGAGTAGTGTCCCTAAGCTTTACTTAAAAATCACTTATAATCCATAAAATTTCCTTCCGAATTTTCTCTAGGAAATCATGGTTGTCAAGGAGGTCTGATGGACGACGCTTTCAAGTACATCAAAGATAACAAAGGAATCGACACCGAAGCGTCTTATCCATACGAGGCTAAGGTAATTAAGCGTTGGAATAATCTTTATTCTTTTTTGGGGGGAGGGGGGTATAGAAAGTAAGTGTACCTTTGTGTGAGGGTAATAGTTTGATTAGTTAATGAATGAATTATATACCTGTGCAAGTAATCTTATTCAGTTAAGCGCTTCCAATTTTACAGAATGGAAAATGCCGTTTCAACGCAGCTAACGTTGGTGCTACAGACACTGGGTTTACGGACATCAAGAGCAAGAGTGAGTCAGATCTTCAAAGCGCCGTTGCTACCGTCGGACCCATTTCCGTTGCTATTGACGCCAGTCACATGAGCTTCCAGCTGTACAAGAGCGGGGTCTATCACGAGTGGTTCTGTAGCGAATCACGATTGGATCACGGAGTTTTGGCTGTAGGATATGGCACAGAAAGCGGCAAAGATTATTGGCTAGTCAAGAACAGGTAATGGCATGGGAACAAAAGAATTCATTTTAAGATTTCTCGTAATCAGCCATGGTAGTTTAAAGTATCTCGTAATCAGCCATTATAGTCTAAAGTATCCCATAATCAGCCAATTTAGTTCAAAGTATCCCATAATCAGCCAATATAGTTCGAAGTATCCCATAATAAGCCAAATAGTTCAAAGTATCCCATAATCAGCAAATATAGTTCGAAGTTATCAAGACATCGGTAACACAGAAGGAAGCTATTCACTGGCGCATGCGTATATTTACATCCGCTTTTAATGTTATTTCTGTATTTGCAGTTGGGGCGAAAGTTGGGGACAAAAAGGATACATTATGATGTCCAGAAACAGGCATAACAACTGTGGAATTGCGACATCTGCTAGCTATCCAACTGTGTAGACATGTGCAACAAAGGGACTTATTGCTTAAATAAATGGTTTTTTTTTTAATTTCGTTTTTTATATGATATTACTGAAAATAAAATTTCTCTAAAACAAGAATTATGTTTTATGTTTGAAATAGAGACTGTCTGGTGATGAATCCTTAAATGTGTGAATAGGTAGGTCGAAGGAGTGTGCAATCGGTGTGATGTACGATGTGCTCAATAATGAATTCAACTTAACAGGGGATTTCTTTCTATTTATATATTTCGCACTCATCTTACACTCAATATTTTTTTTTTTTATGTACAAGTTGAGAAATAGTATAACTCTACTCGTGACGATTACTTTTTAATTTATTACATCTGGATATGAAGGTACTTTGTGATGATAAAACATTACAATATATTTCAATATTTTCAAATTACTCCCCTCTCTAGAACTCTCCTGTAAATAACAGCAGATAGAGTAAACCAGGTGATGCAAGGGACAAAGGCCTTTAGTTAAAAAATATAGATGTTTCAAAAAGCATCTTTAGCAAATGCCTTAAACATTAAACCGACATACACATATCGGACCGTTTTATTCTTTAGTTGTTTTCTTCTTTGTATAATCTTCAATACATTAGCCCTCCCATATAAAAGACAATGCAAAACAAAGAGAAAGTATAAACAAAAGTATGGTATGTCGGTAAGGCCATTGCAAAAGTGTATTAGCCCGTTAGAAAAACACTAGCGAGAAGTAACAACATGCTAGCGCGTTATTAACAAGCTAGAAAGAAGTGACAACGCGCTAGCGCATTAATGACAACACACTAGCGCGTGTTAATGACAACACGCTAACGCGACATCGGACTAACACAAATTTACACAAAACGACTCTGCACTAACACACACTAGACGTAAGGATAACATAAATTTACACAACACGCCTGTGCGCTAACCGACAACACGCCGTCACAACTTTATAAAACACGCCGTTGCGCTAAGACAACTAGCGCAGCGGTGTGTTGTGTAAAGTTGCGATAGCGTGATGGCGTGTTGCGTGTTATTGCAAAATCGTGTTTTGCAACGTTGTGTAAGCGCGAAGTTGCGATTTCATCAACGCGCTATCGCGTTGTCATTAACGCGCTTTCGCGTTGTTTTTTCAAGCTAGCGCGTTGTTTCTAAGGCGCTAATATCTTTTGCAATGACCCTATCGGGACACCATACAAAAGATATTTGTCATAGTTGATAAAGGGTCGATGCTGCCATTTACACCGATACCCTTCCTTATATAGAAACAATTGCCATAATTAACGTTGATGCATATTTTAAAGATAATGCAAAAATATATATAGATGTGTGGCTTGCAACGTACACATCAAATTTATGCATAATGAATAAATTTGGTTAAGATAATAAACTTTATGCGAAGTTTCATCGTAACTTCCTTACACATTTAAAAAAAAATACATGTACAGAAAGCCTGATTATATGAAAGCAGTTAGGCTTTGACAATTTCCTTATAGTGCAACATATTGGTGACTGGAAACTTTAACGATCAAGTACTATGTAATTCCCCCTCGTCCTACTTTACGTTAGTAATATCTAAGTCATTTGCAAGGCCGTAACGAGGCACAAATTTTAGTGAGGCAAGGAATCACGGAGTCACTTAAATCCCAAGCGGGTCAAGGGTAGTGTCTTGATGAGGATTCTCGGGGGGCGGGTCCCGAAACCTGGGTTTTAGCAAATTAAAGACTCATCTTTGAAAGTTTTCATGTTTTGAACTATTTTTACATGCGTTCTAAATTAGTTAATCAATTAAAGTTCAGAGTAAAACTTTTTCTTTTTCAGAAAACCCTAAAATTTTAGTGAGGCATTTGCCTCACTTGTCTCATTGGTAGTTACGGCCTTGGTTTGTCGATATCTTGAACGTCTCCTTCCTGAAAACTTTTCCGGTCCAACAGTAAACAAACAGGCATCTGTGGCCAAGGAAACGATATAAATAACAGTTAATTTTCAAAGCTGACAAAATTATGATGAATCTGAATGGGAGAATGAAAACGAGAATAAAATCAATACATTAGAATTTTGATTTTTGATAATTTATTCTTACAAATCTAGACTCATTAATTTAACAACACAGTAAGATGACATTTTATTTATAAATGAACGCTTCACTAGAAAAAAAAATCTCTATAAATATACGCCTACATTTGTAGCTGTTTATTAGCATTACATAATGGGGTAGCTACAGCTATTTGCCACCCCACACTGGTTGTTTTTATCTTTAGATAGCAATACGTATCCTTTGTTTCCCCACGATGTACCCCAACTGGAATAAAAATAGAATATGCTTAAATAAAAATACTCACCACTTAGACAAATTAATAGGCTACGATTTTGATGAATAAGATTTATAAGCAAGCAGCCAATTTTGTTGACAAATGAACGAAATGTTGCCTTAACTTTGGAAGAAGTTGAATAAAATTTTCTTGTTATATGATAAGCTTGTCTATTATATAATTTATATATTTTTAGTTACAATATAAAAAAAATGTAAAATTACCTACATTGATAAAAAAAAAAAACTGAGAGTTTAAATTAGAAAAAGCTTATACCTATTTTTAGCGATCCAGTATTTTTTACCATCCAGAACACCGTACCCGACAATAACAAGAGAATGATCCACTTGCGATTTACAGTTGGGCTCGTCATACACCCCGCCTTTGTACAATTGAAAGGATCGTTGAGTGGCATCTATAGCAGCCGAGATAGGACCTACGGTGGCCACAGCAACCATGAGTTTTTGTTCAGATTTTGGAAGATCGATGTAACCCTTCACTGTAGCTACGACTGCAGATTTGTTGAACTTACAAGTTTCTTCCTTTACCAAAGAAAAGAAATTTGTTGAAAATAGTTTTAGAGTTGGCAATGACGTAATAGTGTGAAAGTTTCGTAATAGGAACCAGTCGTCTAATGGTAGAGCGCTCTTGCTTGGGGAAGATCAGGGTTCGATTCACGTTCCCGGTGTAAACCTGAGGTCCCATAACCTGCAATGTCTTGGCACGATAAAGAACCTTTACTGTTATGACCGTAAGCGCCATGCATTGTTTAAAATTTGTGGCACTTCTCAGTCGCAGATCTAGGATTTTTTAGGAGGGGGAGGGGGGTCCACCCTAGGCCAAGAGAAAGTCCACGAAGAACTCAGGGGTTCGCATTTTCTAGGGGAAAGGGGGTGATTCCGAGTAACATTGAATTTGTTATAATAATAAGTTAAACTGCTTTTTCTTAGAGGACAATCTCTTTTCATATTAGTCTGAATTCGTAGAAAGTTGATCACTTATTTTCTAATCAAAGCTTGTTCTGAATCGAAAATTTGTGCATCTAGCAAAAAATTAAAAAAAAGTTTTCAAGAGAATGTTGCAAACCAACATAAAGGTGTTAGTGTACGAAGGGTGGGGAAAATCTTTAAATTGTTGGCTTTAGCGTGGAAATTATTTTTGTTTTGAGAAATCATAATTATCTTTATCTAGGTACAGAGAAATTAAAACAGTTGTGTAAGAAATGTCATGTAAAAAAAATCATTATTGCAACAAGGGCACTACAAAGCGGAACATTCCCCTGCAATTCAGTAAATGACATCGATCTCGATGTAAATTTATTATAACTTCCGTTATGCACAAACTCACCAACGCTCTCGCTCACACACAAGCGCGTTGCTGTATCCCCTAACGTCAATGCGATGGGATGATAAAACATTTCTCACGTTAGAATTACACAATTGTCATTTCTATTACTGTAAAAGTGTAAATATTATCATAGGCTCAATACATTAAACTAAGGCGTGTAGCAATTACCCTAGGCGTATAGGGGTATGAAGCATCACTTTCTATTCCACCAACATCTTTGACATATTTGAAAGAGAGGTCCATCATACCGCCCTCACATCCGTGATTCCCTAGAATCATTGTATAAGACTTAGATATCAGAATTTATCAAACACTTGGATATTATAGGCTAATAAGTCTAGATTATCAAAAAGGTCTAAGAAAGATTTTTTTTTTCCTTTTGAATGAGAACATTTAATTCAAATTCAAAATTGACTCAGGGGTTTAAGTTTAAGAATCAATATATACCGATCAGCGCTATGTACAGTTACACATGTTTCTTTGTATTTTGCATCTACTGGTTTTGTAAAATTACTTTAAAAAGAAAAATGCCTGTTTTGTCTTCATTAAAAATAATCACCTATATTAATTTTTTTTTCAGGATTTTGACACTTCAAATGATTACCTATATAAATTTACCCCTTTCTATGTTACTCAGCACCTTTCGGATAAGGAACTTAGGAGTTCAATAAGGTTAACATTTAGAATCTTTTATACATGTATCTCCAGGACAAATTCCCTTAATATTTCTGTTGCTGAACGACGTTTGATAACGTACCCCATTTCTCACTGCAATCCATAAGTTGCTGCACAGACAGCACGATTAACTTTCCTGTCTTGTTCTTGACCTGTCCTTCAAGTGCCCCCGTCGCAGTAAACGCCCAGCAAGAACCACACGCAAACTAAAAAAAAAAAAAAAAGAACTCAGATATATTTCTTTGGAAGTGAAAGTTTTGTTCCAGGGTACATGATTTAATCGTGGGTCAACTATGTGCTTAGCAATTGAAAGTGTGGTGTTAAATATTCCTCTTTTTTTCCTTTCGTAAAACCCCAAATCCAAAAATAAGTACTGAGTAATGGACAGAATTGAATCGTTTGTTTTGTGTGTGTGTGTGTGTGTGTGTGTGTGTGTGTGTGTGTGTGAGGGTGTGTGTGTGTGTGTAATAGAAAAAACCAATACTTCTCCCTGAAGAGCTTAAAGTTATTCTTTCATTCAGAATGCAATTAATTTGGAGATTGAAATTAAAGGTGATCTTTACCTGATTACCAACAGGTCCCACCCACCCTTCTTTCCTCCAATCTATTTCCGAGGGTAGACCGGAAGTGCCTTCTGATAGACCGGAACTGAGTGGAATATCGTCAGGATTGGATAAGTCAGGCAATCTGAATCCTCCAACGAACTGTTGAAGAAACTCTTCGTGACTCTGTAAAGATTAGAAATTCGAAAAATAGAGGATGAAATTTCATGATACAATTTCTGCTTTCCACTATCTAATCTTTCAAATATGACGTTACATTAATAATTACCAAGTCACTGAACTCATTCAAGCCCATGAAATAAGACTGCTCGCCTTTGTCGAATTTGACATTGTGCTGATTTATGTAATCAAGATTTTCTTCCCAAATTTCCCGCCTAAAAAGTGTAAAGAATCTATGAGAAATATTGATGTAAAAGCTGTCTATAATAAATCCTGTATTTTAGAACTTAAAAAAAAACAGCTTTTAAAAATTGCAGATTTATTTTGTAAGCTGTAAAACTCATCATGATTCAAGTTTTGAAAACGATTTTTCATATTAAAATCTTAATAATAAACGATAGAATCAATAAATACATGAGGGTATAATTAATAATTTAGATATTTAGTAATTAAATAGTAACACCCGACAATAAGACCCCAAACACAATCTAATCTTGAGTAAAAAATTTCTGAAATTACGAACAGAAAAACCTTAAATATGACCTTATCCGATTCTTGCCTTTTCGTCTCCTCTGTATCCGAAATGTACCATTTCCGGTATTCTTGTTTGTAAATTTTCCATTCGGTGTCCAACTCCGATATGGCAGCGAAGCAAGGAATTAACAAAGAAACCAGAAGTAATCCGAAGACGTAGAATCTCATGTCTTTCAAGTGGGAAACGAATGATGATCTTGTGTAAAGATAAAACAAAAGCTTAAGGAGGAATGAACTCTCCCCTTAGAGAGATAATTGAAATGTTGACAAAGACTATGTTTTTTTTTAAAAACAAATATGATGCAACAAGAATTTTTTCCTTTTTTCTTACATTGGTCGTGCATGAACTTTAATTAATTTTATTAATATCTCCATACTATTTTCGAAAGAGTTCCTTATTATGATGTTTTCTATTTTAGTATACCTCTCTTAGTGAATAATATATCTTAAAATTTTGGATAAAGGATCACCCATGTGTCATACTCAGTGTGTTTGAAATTAACGAAAACCTATTATTATACTATTCATGCTGAAGGTACACATTTACGTAACGGCAAAATCCGTTTCAGTGATGATAGAATAATTATATTTTAGAAAAAAATTGTTTGCGGCTTTACCCAAAAATTTTCATGTTACATAATATGTTGATGGTGCGACCGTTTGGGCGAGCGCAGTTGTTCACTAAATTTTAAGATCCGCCTCTTCAAACCGCACGAGACATTTGGAACGTCTAGACTGTGACGTCACCTGACGTCGTATGTTAGTTGCATTTCCATAAGTAAAGTTTGAAAAGTGCAAAATTTTATCAAAGAACTTTTTAATCTAATATCCGTATGCAATATCCATTAAATCAAATTGAGTTAGTTTTTTTGTGAATTTTTAGTTGTTGTTACCGCGAGAACGTAGTTTGAGGCGAGATGCAATCAGTGTTGCATTGTGGGTCCAGAGGTTACTGCGAAAAAAAAAAATTCATTTGGATGAGTGTGAACAGTCCAAATTTTCTCTTCGCCCAAGCGTTGTCGTTAGAGCTCGCAGGGCGAGCGGCGCTTCGCGCCGCTCGCTGCGCTCGCTATTATACCTTAAAATTTATAGAAGATTAATGAAGCGCTACACTATGGAAAACAGCCTACAGGTACTACATGCTCCGCACATTTGCAAAAGTATCAGAAACGTGCACGGTTACATATCCAAAAGGAGAAAAACTTTCGAATAGTTATGTACCAATAGCTTGTATTTAAATACCATTTTCTGAACTTTTAGATAGACACATCGATCTAAAACCAGTTTGTATTAAAAACATGGGATAATTAAAAAATTTAGAAAATAGAGTTTACTTTAGATAACTATTGGTATAGGATGAATCAAAATCGCAAAGAAAACGGGGGTGGGGATCAGTGTGCTTCTTACTTATTAATTTGACCTTTTTGCACTTAAATTGTAACATTTAGATTAATCACTTTAACTTTTATCATATTTTACCAGATGTTACCATGGCAATAAATATATTCTTATTTGATGTAAAATAGTTTGAATAATATTTCTGATTGAAAAGATCCTGCAAACTAATGCGCGTAAATTATTGTGTGACATTTTTGCACTAAAAAAGTATCATTATGATATTAGGGTATCAAAAATATAAATAGGCGATCTTTTTTTTTCTTGTATCAAGCTTTGTATATCTGTACTGATCGATTGGAAGTGTTATGTAGTTTAAAAATTATGAAAGAAAAATGTGGGGACAGTGATGCAAATTTTGAGATATTGGTCATCATATGCAAACTTTTAAATTTTATCTTGACTTCTTCAATACATTTTCATTTCTTGGCAAAGTCCGCTCAGTGAATGTGTAAAAATTGCTTTCCTAATATTAATTGAAACCTATATTTAATATTTCTAGCATATGATAACGAAAGAAAAAATATGTAGGGCCAAAGTTCCAAGGTATTCAATTTAATAAATTTGTAGATTTGAAGAATTTTCTTCTAAATATCCTTCCACAACTAGAAATAGTCCCCCATAAATCTTGATTCTCTATGATTTTGTAAGCAGTTTTTAAATTGAATATTGTATAATTTGTAAAGTTTAATTCAAGTATGTAATAAAAATTGATTTATAATCAATAGTTCGAAGCTAGAAGTTCTGACCAAACTTTTTTCCAAAAGCTGACGAGTAAAATACATGAAAAAAACAAAACAAACAAACAAACAAACAAACAAACCAAACTCTCCCAAAATAAATCGATACCATACATGAAGGTTACAACCTATTTTGAATCCCAAAAAGGAAAAAAAAGATCAAATTTCCACTTTTAATTCCAGATTTTGTGTATCCTGTGACCTTAAGGTACCTAAGTACTAATAGTACTTAACCTTTAAATGACACAATACCAAATAATTATTCAAGTACCAATGTACTTGACTTAAAAATATTACAATTATAAAACTAGTCCAGGTCAATCATGCCTGTTTGGGATCAAGAGTTGAGAATTTTGAAGGTACGGCTAATATCAGGAAATTACCCTTTATGAAACAAATAAATTGTTACCTGAAGATTGAAGTAAACACAACGGAGGAATCTCCATACACTGGGTCAGAGGAGGATAACGGTGGACCTTGACCCCCTATCTTGTGTCAGTTATCTAGGCCTTTGTTTATTTATTATCGTAAATTGTCAAATCGGGATAGGTTTTTTAAGTGAACTCTTTACCCATGTTACTACAGGTATTTCTCATTAGTTCATTTTTTTTCTTGTCATTATTGTTCAACCATGTTCTATTTTGTGTACTTATATATACACGTTAAACACATCATACCCCCCCTCCCCCCATAAAAAAAATATTTTAGTGAAATAAAATAAATAAGGCTTAGTTCAAAACAGAAAAAAATGACACTGTCATGTTCTAAATTTTGCATTTGCTTCCATGCACCCGGTAATTTCTAAATTTAGAACTTTACATGGGCTTGAGGGGCTAGAAGGTTATCTGCATCACATTAGAAACATACAGAAAAACACGGGAAGATATATTTTATAAAAAAGTTGAATTTAAGAAAGTGTTATACTGATTGCTAACTGTTAAAGCCGTTGATGATTGTTACCACAGAACACAAATTTCTCATTTAAAATTGATGGACGGACATTTAGGGGCATACATGTCTGAAAGAACCAATCTCATCAAATCAGATTAAACTTGTACAGTGTATATGTAACACCAAAACAGTGGATTGAGATCCAAACTCTTGCTAGGATATGCACGTGCACATCATGAACGAAATACTATCGATATTAATTGCTGTTTCCTATTTTTATAACAATAATAACTTAATTATATTTCAATTAAACTCATTTTTTTTTCTAATTTTTGTTAGAACCAGCTCGTTTTTTTTCCTTTAAAAACAACAACAACAACAACAACAACAAAAGAAAAAAGTATATCATTATGATTTCTAAGTGCTAAAATGTTGTGTTGTGAAACAATGATTTTCAACAAGACTTTTATCAGTCAACTGTGTTATTCATAAGCTATTTTGCAGCACGTTAACACTAAATTTCAATTCATAGAGGTCAAAGTCTTACTTCTGAAACGCAATACACACATTCTTATCAACACAGAAATGTCCCTCTCTCTAAAGATGTTAAATGCAATTGCTTTTATTAAATAAAGTTCGTAATTTAACTTTACTAATCCTTTATTTAAAGTTTTCCGCTACTTTTTATTTGATCAGATAAATTTGTAATGTATTGATTAACATTTACTTATAAAATACTTGTAATGTTAAAAGAAAAAGAAACGGGAACATGATTCCCCCTTGCCGGACCCCACTATAGTTTGTATAGGAGGTCTGTCCTGGTTATGAGTTTCTATTCCTGTTACCCAAGTCCGTCCCGACCAAAGGTATGTGATTTTTTCTTTTCAAAAATAATATCTGAAGAAGAGTCTGAAGAAATATGTTAAAAAGTAAACCAACGTTTTTTTTTTTAATTGCTACATGTAGTGGGAGTCATTTAAAATCATTTTTATGGGAGTGAAAGGGGGTAATTGTATGAGTGGTAAATGATTTATATAAGAATATTATATTACTGATGAAGTTTTACCCGATTCTCATCGATGCAAGATGATGTTTCGTAATAGGTGATAGGTAATAGGAAAGTTATAGGTAAGAGGTAATAGAAAAGGGAATTTTAAATTACGCAAGAAATAGACATATATTATTCTCTTCTGAGCAATGTTTTTGGCAACTATGCAATATAAACCTATACTGAGTTTTCTAATGACTATGGCTGTCTACAAATTAATAACCAATTATTTTATTTATACTTCTATTATTTTTATGTCATAGATTTTCTTTTGAAGAAATATCTTTTAAGAAATGAATGAATTCTTTCAGATAAATTTAAAACCTTTAAAAAAAAATGAATTCTAAAACAATGTAAATATATAACATGTGATTAAAAATTCTTGTAATCAGCAATGAAACATATCTACAATCGTGCATATAGATGTGTACGTGGATCTTCTTTGATTAGAAGAAGCAATAAAACACATTTTAATTGCATCCATTAAACAATTAAAATTCACAATCGAAAATTATATTGATATCATTTAAAATAGCTTCAGATCTGTAGCTCACTTGTCTGGAAAAAAAATTGGAATGGAAGACCAGAGAACTACTACGAAAGCCGGATAAGCTCATTTTTGACAAGATAAAAAAATATTTAACTCGTTATAACGAGATAGTTATCTCGTTATAACGAGTTAGTATCTCGTTATAACGAGTTAGTATCTCGTTATAACGAGTTAGTATCTCGTTATAACGAGATAATTAAGTCGTTATAACGAGTTATTTATCTCGTTATAACGAGTTAGTTATCTCGTTATAGCGAGATAGTATCTCGTTATAACGAGTTAGTATCTCGTTATAACGAGTTAGTATCTCGTTATAACGAGTTAGTATCTCGTTATAACGAGTAAATTATCTCGTTATAACGAGTTAGTTATCTCGTTATAACGAGTTAGTTATCTCGTTATAACGAGTTAGTATCTCGTTATTACGAGTTAGTTATCTCGTTATAACGAGTTAGTATCTCGTTATAACGAGTTAGTTATCTCGTTATAACGAGTTAGTATCTCCTTATAACGAGTTAGTTATCTCGTTATAACGAGTTAGTTATCTCGTTATAACGAGTTAGTTATCTCGTTATAACGAATTAGTTATCTCGTTATAACGAATTAGTTATCTCGTTATAACGAGTTAATTATCTCGTTATAACGAGCTAGTTATCTCGTTATAACGAGTTAGTTATCTCGTTATAACGAGTTAGTATCTCGTTATAACGAGTTAGTATCTCGTTATAACGAGTTAGTTATCTCGTTATAACGAGTTAGTTATCTCGTTATAACGAGTTAGTTATCTCGTTATAACGAGATACTAACTCGTTATAACGAGTTAGTTATCTCGTTATAACGAGTTAGTTATCTCGTTATAACGAGTTAGTTATCTCGTTATAACGAGTTAGTATCTCGTTATAACGAGATAATTTTAAGCTATTTAACAATGAACATGGAATATTGCTTTTTATCAATTTTAAATGGTTGTGATTATCACTGGAATTAACATGAAGTCAGTTAATAAATGGATCAAACTTTATTTTGCGCTAGGTTTGAACTATGATGAAATTTTGAGTTGTCTTGCTTTCAAAAATCATATTATAATTAGTAAATCAACTCTGAGACGAAAACTAAAACAGTGTAGACTTTTTCGAAGAAAGTACTACTCGGATATATTAGAGGTTGCACTTTTTATCATTAGTGAACTGGAGTCCTCTGGAAGACAGCATGGTTATCGTTGGATGCATCTAAAGTGCTTACAGTCAGGATATAACGTAACAAGGGATACTGTGTATTTGTTGTTGCAGATATTGGATTCTGAAGGAGTGGAATCAAGGAAACGAAGACGCCTGAAAAGGAGGCAGTATCACAGTAAGGGACCAAACTATGTTTGGCATATGGACTCATATGACAAGCTTAAACCATACGGAATTGCAATAAACGGTTGCATTGATGGCTTTTCACGAAATATCGTTTGGCTAGAAGCAAATATTACTAATAGCGACCCAAAAGTGATAGCCAATTATTATATCAAAGCTGTACGAAGAAAGAGTGGATGTCCGCAGAGAATAAGAGCAGATCTTGGAACAGAGAACACATATGTGGAGCAGATGCAAAAGTTCCTGCGTAGAGATCATGCTGACGAACTTGCTGGGGACAAAAGTTTCCTCTATGGAAAAAGTACCCATAATCAGCGCATCGAATGGTTCTGGGGTTTACTACGAAAAGAAATGGGACAATATTACATGGATATGTTTTCTGAATTCAGCAGAGACGATTCTGATTTATTCTGCGGAGATCATTTAGACAAATCACTTATTCAGTATTGCTTCATGGATTTAATTCAGGTAATCAATATGTTTTACATAGTATTGTTCATTATTCATAAAAGGTATATTCTATTATTTTCTACGTTTGTAACATAAAGTGATTGTTTAAATGAGAACGATAAATGAGTTTCTTTGTGTATTCATGTGCCAATATTGGTCATTAATTGTTAAAATTGCGTCGTAGTGACTAAAATGATTATGGTTTCTGGATAGACCAAGTTTTGAAAAGTGAAACAACGCATGAGCAATAATGTGCAAACACACAACACCCTTCGCTTAAGTCTTTCCCAGAGTACGTCCGGACGTGTTTCATAAGGGTCCGGAATTATTTCATATCAACTGTTTTTTTAAACATTCAGATTAGCAATTAAAATTGTAATTATTTGGGTTAAGTAGTTTAGTTTTAGTGCTAGCCACCTCGATAAATAGTTTCCTCCCTCGGGGAACCATAAATTTGCTATTTCCCTCATACATGTAACCATTCCATATATATATCGTTAAAAACATATATTCTGTATATCTTCTAATTTGGCAGTTGGTTTATTTTACAGAGAGATCTCGACTCCTTGCAGTTGACGTGGAATACTCACACTCTCCAGTCAAAGCAAAACTACGGAACGGAACGACAGCGACCAATACTTCTCTATACTATGCCTGAGCTGTACAATGCCGAAGAAAGACTTTGTCGTGTGGAAGACAATGAAATTGATATATGTGAAGAAGAGACCGTTTATAGGACAATACTCTGTGATGAAACCATTGCCTGTTTATGCGAAATGATAAGAAGAGAAAATAATCTTCAAAAACCATCCTATGCAGATGAGGCGAAAGATCTGTATAAAAGACTAAGACGCTTAATTCGCTTTGAACTTGAAAGCATGGATGTATAATAAAAACCTGATAGCAATATACAGTTATGTTCAAATGGATATGCAATTGAATAAATTTCTACTGTATTTTTTTAATAGGATGTGCTTAAATTGACGTCTTCAAAATTTAGCCTGTCACTGGGTATGGAGTGGTTGGAGCAATACAGTGTACAATATATTTTAATATTTTAAGCAGTCGGGTATATTTATCACTGTCCAACAAAGCCTGTACACCTAGCTAAATTTAGCCTTAAGGTAGTTTGAAGTCAAGTATAGGGAACTATACAGACTCTACTTTGAACATAAAAATGGGAAATCTATCCTAGCTTTCATATTTTATCGTATACTCGTATGCATGTCTCAATCCCTATATGGGACTTGTATGTTCATGACACGATCCTTAAAAGTTCTGAGAATACTGCCACGGCAATCAGTACACCTCACCCACCCACCCATCTGGAAATATGTTTTTCAATCTTTTATTCTACGGTTTTAGCTTATTATAGTACAGATTATAATGTCCGAGGACTTCTCATCAACTCTGGCGAAACTACAGCAAGTAGCAGTGCCTGGGAAAGTCAAACAACAGATGGGGAATAGCCCAAGTATTCATATAATTATGGGGCCATTTTGAAATTAAAGGGACTGAGAGGAAATATATTGGGGCCATTCTAAAATACATCATAGTTTGATGCTATGATAATGCATATATCTGATTCATTGACAACAAAATTTAGAAAAATAAAAAGAAAATGCGATAGGAATTGACAAATCGCATGACATTGACTAGTGGAAATGATTTTTCTGTTTCTAAGAACTTCATAAATCATTCGTCATCTAACATAGGCAGTATACAGAAAAATTATATTTAAACCAAAAGCACCAAAATTTTTGTTAAATATAAAATGCCAATTCAGAGATCAAGGGACAGGCCAAGATAAGTAGACTTCGTTGATAATGTTATTTCTTTTCCATGGCATGTGCGTAACTTTCGTAACGCTGTCCAAAACGACTTGACACTTACCAGTGAGGGATCTAAGAATTTAATAATGGGAGGGGCGCAGTAGAAGGCAGAGGGTCTGGGGGCTGTGATGAAGTCCCCAGTGGGACCAGGGCAAAGCCCGGGGGGGGGGGTGTTCCCTCGGAAGCTGACGAATTCTTACAAATAAGAGGTGTTTTTTTCTTTGTTTTGTTTTGAACATATTTTATTGAGAATCAAAAGGATACGAAACAAGTTCTTTCAACTTACTAGTTCCTCTCTTTAATATATAACACATAACAATACATGGGGGGGGGGGGGGGGCTGGATCTGCTTTTGCTTACGAACCACATCAGAGAAAAAGTTTGTTTCTTTGTCAGTGGATGTCAATATGCTGAATGGTGGTTCCGATTTTGTTATATATGATGCATCACTGATTCCACATATAACTTCGATAAAGAATACCGATAGCACAGACTACGATCAACTTATAACTACATGTAGAAAATCCTGCGTGTCTGCAATTTGCGGGGCGTGCCGTATGGCGCAACTCCTTCACAGACCCTTCATGGGCAAGATTTAACATAATCGCCAAAAACATTAAAGAGTTTTACATAATCATTTTATGAATCAAGTTAAAATATTTTATAGCATAGGCGTTTTAATTTTATTAGAGAAATTGTTCATTTCTATTTGCTCACAATTATGCACTTTTAACCGAGAAATTGTAAAAAGGACACGAGAACTAAACTGGGTCTTTTTCACTTTATCACTCGTGAATCATTTGTTCATTATGGATGGTCAAGCGCAGTGGACCAACCATAACCATTATTTCAATAATATTTCATATTACTAATAATTAGTTTATATTTCCTAAGTGTTTGCTAGACTTTCAGTCTCCTTGCGGTCTTGAAGTGCGCACTGTTTGGGCTGCATGGAGGCTGGTGCACCCAACGTTCGCCGAAAGGACTTGTGTGGGATGAGATGCTGGACTACCTGAGTTCAAAGGGATCAGTCAGACATGCTGCGATGAAGCGTCTCTGGTAACGAGTCTTGGTGAACATCAAAAAGATGCTACCGCTACCTCACTAAACAACACAACCCTAGCTTGTGTCCAGAGTATTAAATATAGCTGCACGATGCTCTCCACTTAAACAACACCTCCGAGGACTTTTCTGCTTCTTGTGCGAGGGAAACAAACTTATATTTACATCCACTGAATTTATTTCCCGTATTTCTTAGAAAAACCATTGTCTTTAATCAGTCCGTAAACAACACTAAGCAAGCCACATTCATAGATTTCTTAAGCAACGGCTGTTCCATCAATTATGCGTACAATGACATAAACATCTATAATACAATATTTTACATATTTAATTTACGTTGAATGTTTCTTTAAAATATAAATATAAACAATAAAATGTCTTTCTTTGTCTGTTAGTACGACGTGGCAGCTATTGCAGAAAAAATTCACATAACCCGCTTACGCATAACCAACCTACGTCTCTGGACTTTATCAAAATGTGTTACCGTATCTCTCGATTTGGCTTGGACATTTTATTACTAGTATTTTATTTCACTTATTATATGAACTGTTTAAATTCTGAATTGAAATAACTAAATAATAAATAATTGTTGACAATTTATTTGAAAAGCTGAAAATTGCAAATATTTTTAAATAATTTATGTAAGTATATTTTAAGAAAAAACAATTCTATTTTCTGTATTGAGACACACACACACACAACATCAACAACAAGAAGAACAACGCGAAGTACGATTTTATTGCTTCACTATACTGTGCGAGACTGTCAAGTAATGGATTAAAAAAATAATTTAAGGAAGTAAAGCTATATACATTAAGAAGTAGTGACATTGACTGGCACGTGGAGAAATACATCTCTGGCGGATTCGAGGGGGCAGAGCAACCCCCAACCCCCCTTTTGTGACCAAAAATATAAATAAGATAAATAAATAAATTTTTGGTATGGGATGTTACATTTTAAATTATACCTAAATATAGTTAAAATAAGTCAAAAACCTGTTACTAACCCCCCACCCCTTTTCAAGAATCCTGCTACTGTACATGTATTTAATTGCATTAAGACAGTACACTTTTCCTCAACGGTAAATCACATACCAATGTTCTGTTAAATTACTCAATTACTGCCGAATTTTTTCGTCAAATCTGGCTCCAGCATGTTTTAAATAAGTCAAAAGAGAGATACCACGTCTTGAATTTAAATTGCTAAATTAAAGTAACATTTGTAGGGGTGTACATGTGTCCTATGAGGCTTTCCCTACCTTGGAAATTATAATAACGAAATCAATTTCAAACTTCTACTACTAATCGTAATTATCTGTTAAAGAGACAGGTTGTTGGTGAAAACAAAAGTTTTACTCTTTTGAAGAGCATGTATTGATGGGACACAGTTTCCCATCCTTCGGGATACAGTTGTTTTTTTTTTCCATGATAAATTTCAATACTCTACTTCTCTGGCTTTGACCCAGATGGCAAATAGGTTAACGTCATACTAAACCATTGTGATAAAGATTAATAAAATATTCTTTGTACAATATGCGTGAAGTTAAAGGCCTTCGCTATTAGTCTTTTATTTTTTTTTTACTTTCAATAGCCTTGATTTCATTGAATAAACTAGACTTCTGGTGATAGAGATTTGGTTTCAGATTAATTAAAAGCTTTTTATCTGCTGTTTCCTTTGGAAACTCTCTTCTTCATAGGATGACACAATTAAGCTTATTTGGAAAGGTTTTATTTGGGGGGGGGGGGGTGTTTCTATAAACAGTCAGAAACAACGTACATCTATTTTTATATTGCTAAGTTTCAATTGATTTCGTTTACGCAGGAATCCCTCCACAGCCAAGGATTCAAATTTAATTCAATAACCAAGAAATAAATTCAATCTTAAGAATCTTTTGATCAATGTTCGTTATCTTCACCTTTTTCATTCAAGGTAAAATTCGTTTCGCATCTGGATGCTAAGCTGAAATATTAATAGGACTTCTCTGAGTAAATAAATAAGAGAATGGCAGATCCATAATTTTTTATTGGATAAAAACTAAATTTTTATAAGACCCTGGTCTATTCAGTCTTTTTCTCAGACCATGAAATATGTAAACAAATTAATAAAAAAAAAGAATAGAGAACAGTTGCTGTTACGTGAAGTGATACATGTATTTATATATAGTTACACTCCTGGGAACACTGAAGGTTCCATATGGCCGACAGTCACCTCATGCCTTTACCATGTGAATCTTCCTCATTCCAGACATCCGTAAAACACTTTTTGTCTTACTATACGTAACAAGTGATGCAATTCTCTTACACAATGTCCATTACCCAGACATTGGATTCCAAGACAGACATAAATTCTGATCTAAACTGGGGAAAACTTTCATAGTTTCGAGACAGTTCAAGAAGTTTAGAACACGTATGGGCTACTGGGCGCCTAGAGAGCCCCATGACGTTCACAAAATCTACAGAAATTTTCTTACAAATAAATAAATCCGATCCAGTGCAAAACCGTAAGAATTTTTTCAAGTTTTCATTCGTAAGCTCCTTTATAAATCTTTTCAAATGATTGGAAACAGTTATTTCATCTGGATTCATGGTATCCGGAAAACAAAGGGCTCGACAGACATCTTTTTGCGTTGGTGTGAGTTCCTTGTAAATGTTTTGTAACTGGTCATCTGATATCCCGATATCTTTAAGTATTGGCGTCCAACTGTCGATGACAAACATCGGAGCTTGAATTATTTCTTTATGGGCTATTTCTTGCAGTATCCGAACAACATTTTTTTGGCTTGGCAGCTTTTTGCACTCGTGACTTGACAAAATGTCAAGTAGATCTTCTTCATCGACATTTGAGTAATCCATCACGGCTGCTTTAAGCGTATTAGCTTCATGTTCGGGTAGAATATCGTAAAAAGCAGTTAATAAATCATCATTGGGTCTACCGAAAAGGCAGTATTGTATGAAAGGTTTGGAAAGAAGAACTGGAAAATACCCTTGGCTTCTCCATCCAAATATGATAACTTTAGCAATGGCTCTCCATTCCTCGTCCCCGTAATCATGTCTGATACACGGTATTTTCATTTTAGTCCCAAAGGTACTCTGTTCGTAAAAAGAACTCCAAAATTCTGTAAGGACATCCCTTGTCACACCCCCGCCGTCTTCTGCAATTTCAACATTTCCGTTTGGCATAACAATTTCAAATGATATAATGTCTCTCTCCAAGTTCACACTTTTAAAATCTGTAATTAACTCGTTAAGAAGATGACCCCTGTGAACTTTAAATTTTAAATCCTGAGGAATTATTGGCGGATCCACATATCTTCCAAGGCCTTGGAGTTCCAAAATATCCGGCAACTCATCACCATAGGGAATTTCACTCATTCTCATTGCATCTGACAAAATATCTCGTGTCGGCGGAACTTCAACTGACATGGTCCCAGCTGCCATATTGACTACAGGGTAACTGTTATCTGGCTGTATTACCGGTTTACTTGTGTTTATAAGTGTACTTCGATAGAATCGGCTCCTGTTGTGCGCGGATCACTTTGTTTTGTTGAAATATCTTCAGTTCCCTTTTCATATGTTGATAAGTAAAATCTCAATAAAGGCATTTTCGTTTCTTCGTACATTTCATTAAGAGTGATGTTGTCTCTAAACTTTCTCTCAGAAAAATCCCAAATGTCGAATTCAAATTTCGACAAAGGTCCCTTCGGTGATACTCCATCTGGAAAAAATAATCGTTTCGCTTCTTCCATTATATTTTCTTTCATAGCATCTTTCGGTAACATTATCTTCCTTGTTCCACCTCCTGTTTTTGCCCTTACTTGTTTATATCTGTGATATGTCTTGTGGATCCATCCAATCTCAATTTGACGAGTGTCCTTTGCAGCATTTTTATTTCCGTAGGGGCGCCGCATCGTTTCTTCTTCTACATCGGATGATGAATCGCGTGGTCTTTTTCTCCCTGACGCCCTTTTCTCCAGTTTTTCATGTAGAATCTTGAGTAATTTATTCTTTCTCTTTGAAAATTCATTACCCCTCTGACCAATTTTTTTTCGAATACGAAGGCGATCTCCGTGAACTGGGATGTATTCAGCAAGTTCTTGATCACTCATAACATGTACCAAATCAGGAGTTATCTACAATGTTCAACACATCAGTGACATTACAATTGTATTCAAAACAATATCAGAAACAAGATGTGTTTTTGAAACACTGATGCCCCCGTATGGCAACTAATGGCGAAGGTTAGTACTAAACTTTCTCAAATGCAAGTCGAACAGCAAGGTCAAGAGATCAAAAATGTTGATATCCAAAAAAGGTCTTGTCAAAAGGAATACACCTGTGAAATATGAAAGCCCTACATGTAGCACCAACCGTTCAAAAGTTATGGCCAAGGTTGAAGTTTCTCAAAAGTAAGTGAAACTCCAAGGTCAAGGTCAAAGGGTCAAGATAAATGGTGCCAAAGGGAAAGTCTTGTCACAGGGAATACATCTGTGAAATACGAGAGTCCTAGCATCAATTGTTCAAGAATTATGGCCAAGGTTAAAGTTTTGGTAAAATTTTGCAAAAGTGGGTCAAACGCCAAGGTCAAGAGGTCATATATGATGGTATCCAGAGAAAGGTCTTGTCACAAGGAATACACTTGTGAAATTTGAAAGCCATGGCTCCAAACGATCAAAAGTAATGGGCAAGGTTAAAGTATTTGCGGACTGACAGACGGACAGATGACGGACACCTTACTATCGCATAAGCTCTTCTGGTCTCTGACCAGTAGAGCTAAAAAGGGGGAATTGTCCAAACTCAAAAATTCTATTTCGTTGAGGGGGGGGGGGGTAATTATATACTTTTGTCATAAAAGTTGGAATTACCCCCCACCCCCACCCCTTTTTGTATGCATGAACATTTGAGTATGTGTTCAATCTGCAAACAAGAGACCCATGGTCCACAATGCTCACCTGAGTAATTAAGTTCTTCAAGAGCAGAATTTTCCCCTGTCCATTCCGATTCCAACTTTGATCACATATTGTGGTCCCACCACCCCCTTCCCCTGGGAGTCATGATTTGAATAAATTAAATCTACAACACCTGAGGATGCTTCAGTATAAATATGACTAATCGTGGCTTTCCTGTCCTTGAGAAGAAGATTTTAAAAGATCTTCCTTATATATTCCTATGTAAAACTTTCCACCCTACACCTGGGGGTCATGATTTGAACTAAGTTGAATTTACACTATGTAATGGAGTTTTTCATAAGTTTCATCGTAGCCCTGTATTGTCCGTAGCCCTAATATAATAACTTTCAGAAAAAGTTATATACATGTACATTATTGATACAATAACTACAATACAATAACATGTTTATTCAAACAAATGCAATGTTTTTAAATACAAATACTGCTGTAATTAAAGATAAAATGTCTGACAATAAACATTTTTCAACTAAAGACTTGCTTCTGTAGTCTGTCCTGTCATGTTTGTAGTCACAACATATTTCTAAATGTACATGACAAAGTTTTATGATTTGAACAAGACTGAATCTACACTAACTAAAGATGATTACATATTTCTTTGTGACTTTTTCCCTTACAAGTTTGAACTTTCATTATGGTCCCACCCTACCCCTGGGGGTCATGATTTGAACAAATCTAAATCTACACTATCTGAGGATGCTTCTATATAATTATGACCAATCATAGTTTAGCTGTTCTTAAGGAGATTAAAAAAAAAAATTCCTATGTATTCCTATGCGTAACTTTAATCACCAACTGTGGCCCTATCCTATCCCAAAGGGATCATGATTTTTTTTTTTCAAAATGATTCTACACTACCTTAGAATACTTCCGAATAGTTAATAACCAATCATGGCTTTGCTGTTCTTGAAAAGAAGATTTTTAAAACAAGAGGCCCAAGGGCCTTAACGGTCACCTGAGTACAACAATTTAGAGAATCCATAAACTGATAAATGAAGCTTTGTTGCAAAAAAGCAAGAAAAATGGTACGATTAAGATCAACAAAATAATTGTTTTAGTATCTATCTGTCCCCCATTTCTCACTATTACCATGCAGACTTTTAACAAAATGTCTATTACCTCTCACATTGACCTCACTTGGCCTTTGAAGAACATTTAAAAAGATAAGTTATTTTAGTTTCATTTTATTCATGCATTATTTCCAAGTCTACCTGATCATTTAGACTAAGAAAGTACTTTTTGTATTATACAATAAATGTTCTTGCATAATTCTCTTATTCTATAAATCTTTCAAATACATTATCTACAGTGATTAATTATTGTAACAGAGTTAAAAGTGGCTATGCGTTGTATATAGTGAGGCCACGCTCCTACTAGCACTAGCTAGTGGGTTAACCCTTTAGCTCAGTCGGTAGAGCGCTGGATTTTAAATCTGAGGGTTGTAGGTTCGAGCCACAATGTGGACACCCTAGCTAATTGGTCATATTATCAAAGGTGAATGGCAAAGGGAAATAACTTCCCTCAGTACTATACAAATTAATAGAGCCCTGGCCAGGACCCGAGCACTTGACTAAATGGTCCAGATGTTCAAAATTCTTGTAAAAATACCCTTGCTTATTAAAACTTTTTACTCTGTTTGCCTCCAATATACCCAGGAGCAGAGAAGATCTTCAAAGAAATAATGCATTTTCACTATTTAAAACAGCCCTACCCTAACACCAGAACCCAGGGTCATGAAATTTAAAATTTGGAAGAGGTACCCTCATCATCATAACTATGCAATTACATGTAGTTGAAGATTTTCAAAGAATTCACCCATTTTCACTATATTATCAATAGAGCCCCCCCCCACCCCCTCACAGACACACCAGAACCCCTGGGACCACAAGTTTTAAAAATTTTGTAAAAACATCCTTGCTCATCATTACTATACACTTCATTCTTTGCTTTATAACCATGAGTAGAAAAAATATTTTGAAAGAAGTTATGAATTTTCACTATATAATCAATAGATCCCTGTCCTACCAGAACCCCTGACCCTGGGGCCATGAAATTCAAAATTTCTGAAAAGGCAGTCTTGCTCAACATAACTATGTACTTAATAGTTAGTTTTATCTAATACCCAGGAGCAGAGAAGATTTTCAAAGAAATAATGCACTTTCACTATATGATCTATATAGCCCCACCCTAGCACCAGAACCCCTGACCCTGGGGCTATGAATTTCACAATTTTGGTAGAGGGATCAATGCTTATTACAGTCATGCTAACAGTTTGACTGCTTGATGTCCAAGAGTAAAGAAGAAGATTTTTAAAGATTGCATTAATTTTGGTGGTTTTAGCCCCACCCCACAGGCCCCAGGGGGGCAGGGACCATGATATTCACAATTTTTGTCCCCCTTTACCCATAAATGCTATAAGCCTAAATTGGTTGAGTGGTTTCAGAGAAGAAGCTGAAAATGTTTAAATGTTAATGCACGATGGATGACCACGGACAAAAAAAAAAACGGATAGCAATAGGTCACCTGAGTGACTCAGGTGACCTAAAAATTTCCTATATACTCCTATGTTAAACTTTGATTGTCCATTGTGGGTCCACTCTACCCCAGGGTGTCATGATTTGAACAAACTTGAATCTACACCACCTGAGGATGCTTCCACATAAATATGACCAGTCATGGCTTTGCTGTTCTTGAGAAGAATATTTTTTAAAGATTTTTCCATTTTATTCCTATGAAAAACTTTAATCATCCATTGTGGCCCTACCCTACCCCTTGGGGTCATGATTTGAACAAATTTGAATCTACACTACCTGAGGGTGATTCCACACAAGTTTCATTTTTCCTGGCCTAGTGGTTCTTGAGAAGAAGATTTTTAAAAGATGCCATTAATTTTTCACTAATTTGTAATTATCTCCCCTTGGAAGAGAGCATGGCCCTTCATTTGAACAAATTTGAATCCCCTTTACCCAAGGATACTTTGTGGCAAGTTTGGTTGAAACTGGCCCAGTGCTTCTTGAGAAGAAGTCGAAAATGTGGAAAGTTTACAGACAGACAGCTGGACAGACAGACGGACGCCGGACAAAATGTGTTAAAAAAAACTCACTTGAGCCTTCGGCTCAGGTGAGCTAAAAATGTAAAAAGTTTACAGACAGACAGCTGGACAGATGCTCTCAGTTAGGTTGAGCTAAAAAAGGGGCAACCAGCCTTTAAATGAACATTTTCATGCTTAATTACCAGTAAAGGAGGCAGAACCCACTACAGTGATCAGGGGTGGGGTCAATTACATTGAAAAGTAATTATATAATTAAATTACATTTACATTGTCTTTGTCTTCAATTAAATTACAATGAAATTACATAGTTTTTAAGGCATGTAATTAATTAAATTACAATTTCTTTGCAAAAGTAATAAATGAAATAACAAATTACATTTTCATTTTTGCAAATATTGATAATACTTGTGAATGAATACTCACTCAGGTGACCTATTGCTATTTGCTTTTATGCGTCATTGTGTGTAGTGTGTAATTACATTTCTTTACTCCTTGACATCAAACATTTAAACTTTTGGCATGATTATAATAAGAGTCTTTTACCCAAATTGTGAAATTCATGGCATGGTTATGAAAGCAAAGATGGCTCTTTCAAATTTGTAAAATTCATGGCCCCAGGGTCATGGGTTAGGTGGGGCTGTATTGGTCATGTAGTGAAAATGCATAAAATCTTTGAAATTTTTCTTCTCTGCTTCTGGGCATCTACATGTAGGAGGAGGAAAACAGTACAAAGTTGTAATGAGCAAGGGTATTTTTACCATATTTGTGAAATTTTTGACCACCGGGTCAAGTGTTCTGATATGGGGCAGCTAGGGCTCTATTGTAAGGAAATTTGTACCCTACCGAGAGATGCTATTCTGGTTTGCTATTTACTTATGATAATTACCCTAAATAATGTAACTGATAGGTCAACTGAATAAAGAATTAAACAAGAATTCTTTTTATGTATAATATAAAATGTACTTTCATAGTTTTTAATGATCAGCCAGGTCAGGTAGACTTGTAAAGTAATAGATTTATAAAAATGAGACAAAAATACACATGTACACTATTTTTATATATTATTTAAGGAATGAATTTAATAGCTACCCAATTTACCCAATTTATACAGTATAAAGTGGGTTGGGGCAGTTTACGCTTTATAAACCGCGAAGTGGTTCAATAAGTATGCAACATGAAAATTTGTATGAGTGTATGAAGTTTGATGAAAATATCTTAAATAGTTTCATTGAAACTGAGTTTTATACACAATAAATAGTGAAGTCAAAGGTCATTGGAAAGGTCAAGGTAAAAAAATTGGACACTGTTGATGAAACTGAATAGTTCTCATCAGTATCATGTATCAGAATATTAGTTTTGATAAAATTATCTTGAATAGTTTCTAAGAAACTGAGTTACCAGCCCAGGTAAATGCAAAATGTGAGGGTAGGACAGGAGGAAGGAAGGACAAAAAGACAAAAGGATGGAAAGACAGAAGATGGACATGACAAACACTATAGACCCCGGCCATGTTCATATTCATGGCGGGGCATAAAAATCTGTTGGGATGTTAATGAAATTAATAAATATTTCTTTTTTTCTGGAGTCAGTGGAGCATTTTTACATCATATTAAATCATTTCTAATGGTTAAATCTTTGAAGTTCAACAAAACATGATTTGAATAATACGCATTGAAGGTCTAGCTGTTTTGTTTTATAGCAATTTACAGCTGTGATTTGAAATGCAATTGCCACAAGGGATCTCTAAATACACAATCTATTTCCTATTCTTTAATTATATTAATTATCAAGCAAGAAAAAATTAAACTGTTTCATAACTATATAAAAGGGTAGTACAAATTTTAGAAAATTGAGTCAGACATTCAACTTGTATTAATTCTAAATGTACAATTATACTATGGTTATAAAACAACCTAATAATAGCATAAATAAGCCAATATATGAAAATCATTTATTACCATGTAACAGAAAGATTATCATTAAGGATGTATGGAATGATTAAAAAAGAACTGCAAAATATGACTGTGATGGAAATATTTTTTTTTAATAAAACATGACTGTGTATGTTCTATGTAGATTAATCATGTTAACTGAAAGTAACTAAAAAGTAGTTGAAATTACATGGTATTCTTTCAGTTTAATTAATTAAAGTACAATTACAAGTAATTGAAAAATGGTCAAATACAAATTACTTCCAATTACTTTAGATAGTTTTCATATGACAAATTTTTTTCTCTGAGTTAGTTCCCTTGGCCGCCATTTTGGTGGTCAACCTGGTAATTTTTCCTCTTTGTCTTACCAAATCTAAGAGGGTGTAGCAGAAATATTTGGGGAAAAATCTTTATAGAATAAAAATTATGAAATAAAGGAGGCTTTAACAAATGTATATTTTTCAGAAAAACAATGCTTCTTACCCCACAATGACCAGTGTAAAAAGTTAAAGTTGGTTGAATAATGAAGGAATATGAGCATGTTGACCTCCAATATGGCGGCCAACGGGAAATAACTCTTGCTAATTTGGGTCTACTGAAAACTGTTGTGAAATTGTAATTTTAAAACTATTTTAATGACAGAAAAAAGAACATTTATAAACTTCTGTTGTTCTTATTTGCGATGAAAGAACTATTTATAAGCTTTGATTGGGGCAAAATTACATTATTGTCATCCTGTACAGTATCAATTTCTTATGTAATACTACACATTTCATTATACAGAAGTCTTTCCTCTGTAACAATTTAGTTAGAATAATCTATAACTGTGTCTCAGGACAAGCCCTCACCACAGTATCATTTATCTAGGTACAGCTGAGATACACGTTATCAACCATAGTCACCTTTAATCAGTTGTTAATTATAACGTTTTCAGACTCGTCTTAATTCCATCTCCAATATTAACCAGTTATACAAAGCCAAAATGATACACTTTCCTATGCATACTTACACAATCTAGGCCTACCAGTTAACTTGACCTTTGACGTTAATCATGTTAATAAAACGTTATGCTTCTCCGAGTTCTCGAATACCCATGGCCATGCTACTCTTCCTTCACGGATAAAAAATGAACAAAAATAAAAACGGATCGGAAAGAAACGGGTAAATACTTCCGTGTGTAAGGTCTCTAAAAAGATTTCAAAAATAACACACACGTGAAATAGAGTTTTGGAGTCTGGACATTTTCCTTTTTTTTTTCTTTTTTCTTTTTTTTTTTTGTTTCTTTGTTTGTTTGTTTGTTTGTTGTTTGTTTTTTTTGGCTGTCAAACATTTTCAGTGAAGAAGAAAATAAATAATCTATCCTTCATTATCTTGAAAAAAAATAATCTGTCCTTGACAGGCATGAAAATAAGTATTATTCAGTGGCGGATTTAAGGCGCCCCCCCCCCTCCTAAAATTGTCAAAGTTAGCGTTAATCATAGTTTCGTCAAGAAAATGTAAAAAAGTTCACCCGGTAGACCTCGTTTTTTACCCTACAAAATCTCTAGAATCCATGAGCTTCCGGGGGCTTCACCCCCTGGGCCCCTACAAGTGCTTCTCCCTGGACCCACTGGGGGCCTCAAGGCGGCCCCCAGACCCCCTGCCTACTTCTTGCGCCCCCCTAACTTCAAATCCTGGATCCGCGCCTGTTATTAATGACTTGAAAAATATTGTCACCCCCCCCCCTTCAGAATCAAGTGGTCGTCCCCTAATAAAACATACTATCTTGCATAAAAAGTTTTTGGATGATTGGAGTAATTGATATAGCTTCCAACGTTGTTGGGCCATCATTATTTATTTTAACGCAATTTGTTATTACAATATATGCATGTGCTTCAAATGACAGGAAACAAATTTTAAACGAATATCAAACCTTCCAGTTTATAAAGTCCATTCTATCCCAAATCAGCTTATTTCTCAAAACACAATTAATATACTAAATCTCGCCTGCTTTCAATTCCTATGTTCAGTAATAAGTCGTGTGGCATTCTTAACCCCCTTCTCTCTCTCTCTCTCACACACACACACACACAATTTTAGCCAGAATCAATCAAAGGGGGAGTAGTTACAACATTCTCTAGATCATCGATGAATTAAAATCGATTATGGCATACATCATCTTAATTAATTCGTGAAATAGGCATGTTTGTATAGAAAAAAAATCTTTGAAAAGCTTTCTTTCAATTTCTCACCTGTAAATATTAGAACAATATATACTATTGGCAATAATTATACACTCCTTTACAATATAGTAAAGAAAAAAAATTATCATTATGACTTTTAGAAAATTATAAAATATACCGTTTACCTTTTCTTTTTCCATTCTCGAGGCTGCTTCTTCTGAAATAGACTTAATAAATTCGATAAATTCCTCAACTTCTAAGTCTGACATTCCTTACTTTTTGAAGAGAAAGAGACCTATATTACAAAATATTATCTCGTTATAACAATAAAATAAACTCGTTTATAAGGAGAAAAATATCGTTATAACGAGATAATTAATTCGTTATAACGAGAAAAATAACTCGTTATAACGAGATATTAACTCGTTATAACGAGATAACTAACTCGTTATAACGACTTAATTATCTCGTTATAACGAGATACTAACTCGTTATAACGAGATAACTAACTCGTTATAACGAGATAATTAACTCGTTATAACGAGATAACTAAATCGTTATAACGAGATACTAACTCGTTATAACGAGATAACTAACTCGTTATAACGAGATAACTATCTCGTTATAACGAGATAACTAACTCGTTATAACGAGATACTAACTCGTTATAACGAGATACTAACTCGTTATAACGAGATAACTAACTCGTTATAACGAGATAACTATCTCGTTATAACGAGAAAACTAACTCGTTATAACGAGATACTAACTCGTTATAACGAGATAACTAACTCGTTATAACGACTTAATTATCTCGTTATAACGAGATAGTAACTCGTTATAACGAGATAACTAACTCGTTATAACGAGATACTAACTCGTTATAACGAGTTAAATATTTTTTTATCTTGTCAAAAATGAGCCTATCCGGCTTTCGTAAACTACAGTGCCACCCATAGAAAAAAAAACCTGTATATTTTTTACGCATAAAAAGTTGCGCTCGGTTCTAGATTAATTTTCCAAATTCGTAGTTCAACTGCACAAAAGCTCTACTTAAAAAAAAATCCTTTGACCTCTATAAACTACTCTCATAGTTGACATTCGCACGAAGTGCGTTGGACAAATTATCTTGCCACCCAAAATGTCAGTAAAATAGGCGATGTTTTCGATTGTCTATCATTTCAGGCTCAGAAAGGCTATAAACAACGGTTATTAGGAATGTTTTGGTGTGGAAATAATAAATAATTATTTAAGAACACACGGTTAGTAATATTTTGAGATGACAGTTTGAAAAACACGGAGAAATAAATCGAGAAACAGCGCACTTTTCTGTGCGCAATAAATATACAGTTTTTTCAATGGGTGGCACTGTAGCTCTCCGGTCTGTCAATATTTTTTTTTACGGAGAGCAATAGTTCCGCAGCTACATTTAAAGCGTAGGTTTGAAATGAAAAAAAAAAAATCATATCAGGCATCCCTGCTCAATGCATAAATGAAAAAAAGCTGCTATTTCTTCCTCAGAAATACTACTATACCAAGAATTACACGGCCTGGGTATTTATCGATATCTTCACAATAAACGGCATATAGTCATCTTACTGTTATAATGTTGCAGATGTTGAGCTTAGTGTTGCTTGCTGTGGTGACCGTCCATGCCCTGGCTGCTCAGTTTGACGTCACGCTAGACAGCGAATGGGAGATGTACCAAGTCACATACAGGAAAAGCTACGGGGTCACAGAAACCGCCAGGTGACAACGCATTACCTTAGTTCAAAATCGTGAATAAATGCTTTAATAGATATAACTTGTATTTCGAAAATATACATGTATGTAATAGTCAATATCAATATATTTATTCATTAAGTCAGTTATTTAACCAATTGATCGATCATCAATCAATCAATCAATTAAATAGTCAATTAGTCAATCAATCTTTATGCAGACGACAGATATGGGAGGATAACGTCAGACTGATTGAGAAGCACAACCTGGAGGCGGATCGCGGAGTTCACACCTACTGGCTGGGAATGAATGAGTACGGAGACATGGTAAATGAAATCAATAAATATTTAAATTTATAAATAAATATTAAAAGAATTAAAACGGTCAAATCACGATTTCTCCTACTTTACGACACTGTAAAAACTTCAAGATTCAAGAGCTCTAAAAAAATGAAGAAACTGTCCAAAACTTCAAGACACAAGAGTTCTTAAGATAATGAAAATTCAATATCGATGAATATACGTCGAGACCTGCGACAGACTTCAACATATTCCTAGTAATCGACTTACTGATATTCAAGATATCGAATTTCAACTGTATTAATTTTTTTCTTCATTTCTTATTCCTTATCATAGAATAATAACTTACGGTATGACGACGTTTCTCAAATAATTGTCTTTATCTCCTCGTAATATACAAAAAAAAAAAAAAAAAAAAAAAATATTCACAATTCTCCTGTTAATTCTAAACTGTTTTCAAAATGTCCTGAAAAATAAGTACACCAAAATTGTGATATTGGCAATTCAAGCGATTTCTAAACGGATCATATAGAAAACACCATCCTCTGGTATCTTACACAAATGCCTGGTAATGTACCTAATTTTTTGTGAGGAAACTTATCAATTGCAAAGTAGCAATACTTCAATGACAAACTCTTGGGAAATTTATATATATTATTGGGGAACGTGTCGTCTGACCTTAAATAATTGAATTAAATTGAAAAATTTGCAATTCTTTCAAAATGTATTCTCATTAAATATAGACTAACGAAGAATTCACAAGAGTCATGAACGGTTTAATAATGCCGAATAAGACAGAGTACAATTTGTTCAAACCAACTCTAGATGAAAAGGACCTTCCGGATACAGTTGACTGGAGGGAGAAAGGTTACGTCACCGAAGTGAAAAACCAGGTAACGAATAGCCCATTTTGTGAAATTTAAAGATTAGAAGTGATTTGGATTAACTTGTCCTTAAGGTTCCGAATAGTTGCAATTTGCTTAAACGATTGATTCTTAAGAATCTCTAGAATTAATTAAATGAAAATAGAAATTTTCTAATAGATGTAAACTGATATACAGTGTATACAGGTTTTGAAGCATTATTTAGAGCTGTTGTCTTTGAAATTGACATTTTCAATGTCCAGGAAATATTCTGGAGTCACAAGACAACTATAAGTGATAAATGAAAAAAATTCTAGGAAAAATAATAAATAGATAATCGTCGAGCTTATTTTATTGGCTAAATGATTATTTGATACACTTATGCTAAATACTTTTTAAAACTTTGTATTTTATAATTTGTTTAAAATGGTAAAGTGAATCGAATTACAGGACATATATATTCGTCTAAAACAGTGTGCTGCACTTTCAAAAAGGTTGAATCACAGGCCTTTGGAACACTTTAATTTGACTTACAGATTTTAAAATCTCCAAGTTTTGCAAGTGGAATGAAAGCGATCCATGGGCCTGTGAACTGAATGTGAGCGTTTTTATAAAGATTGAATTCTTTTTTATCTCATGGACAATGTAACTATTGAGTTAAAGGCAATGAAATTAAAAGAAAAAGTTCTCTTGAAACTAAGGATTTCATACACCAGATTTCAGTATCAAGAAAGACAACTCTAGAGTGAAATAAGAATAGATATATATATTTTTTATAAAGCCCCTCCTTTTTTAAACACTAATGTGTCCAGGATTTTTTTTTTTAAATAGGGTCAATGTGGATCTTGTTGGGCTTTCTCCACCACGGGGTCACTAGAGGGTCAACATTTCAAATCCACCAATAAACTAGTATCGCTGTCTGAGCAAAACTTAGTGGACTGCTCCAAGCCAGAAGGTAAGGTTAAAGCTCATGATCAAGGTAAAATGGTACGAATATATTGGCACAACTAAATGTATTACTTCGAGCATGTAGGTAGAATTAAAGCATAATGGGCTGTTCCAAGGAGAATGGTAGGAATACATTTTAGTGAGATTCTCAAGACCTGATGCTAAACTTAGACTAATACATGTAACTATATATAGAAGGATCAGAGCTGGAAAACTTAAGCTAAAAGCATGAAGGTAACTCTCGTATATAACGAAATGGATAGGTCCAGATTGCTAAAGGTAAGTGTCTATGACCAGATGGATCGATCTAAAACCTAGAGGTGGGCCCATATAGCTATGGACCGCTTGAAACTTAAGGGCGAGTTTGAACCCTTGAAACCTAAGGGCAAGTGTGAACCGCTTGAAACTTAAGGGTAAGTTTGAACCGCTTGAAACTTAAAGGTAGATCCAATTTTGAAATACCATATGAACCGCTCAAAGCCTTACAAAAATACTACATAACCATATCCATTGCTTCAAATCTCAAAGTAATTATGTATACCCTGATAAGTCTATCTAAATCAGTATAATTAAATGGACAGCTCAAAACCGAAAGATATGTCTGTATAACCAAATATCAGGGTAAATCTATATTACAATATGGATAGCTCTAGTCCTGAAGGTACTTAAGACTTATATAACTAATCTACAGCTTATATCAATTGAGGTTGAGCTATATACACATAAAATTAAATTATAATTGATTAGAAGTTATGGCGACATATTAAGGAGAAATGGATCGCCTCGGTTGAAAATGGTTTTCTTGGGGTGAAAATATTCAATGTTACACTCAACTACATGCAATATTTATTTTATTATACTAAATGTTTTATGCAAATAAATATAGCAGTGAACCTTGCGCGCATAAATTCTGCGCAGTCACTATTTTTTTTTTTTTTTTTTTGAATAACAATATACTATTGCTACGCTGGAGGGTGTGGCTTCATTCAGCGGGCAATAGCGTTTTTTAGCAAATATTTCTCGACGAATCAGATTCAACTAATTTACATGAAAGTATAATATTGTTGGATATTGATTTACTGGATATTCTATCCCACCAGGAAACAAAGGATGTCAGGGAGGACTGATGGATAAAGCATTCAATTACATTGAGAAAAACAAAGGCATAGACACAGAACAATCTTATCCTTACCACGCCAAGGTATAAACATTGATACATGTAATTATATTAATTTAAATTTGGAAGATAAACTTTCATCTTTAGCGGGAATAGAATGAAGGGGCCCCCACCCTTTTGCTTTTTCTGGCTTCGAATGCTCCTTTCATTTTTTTAACCCCCCCCCCCCCCATTCCTCTGAAAAACGATGCTAGCTGCCGGATCAGTCATGGTTTGTTTTAATTATTGCCCCGTATGATTAACTCTGTTCAACTGACTACTACGTGTAAAATAATCTTTACCGAAATGTTTTTGGTACAGATGACTCTATTTTTAGTGTTGTATATCAGAACGGAGCAAATTGATATTAAAGTGTCATATATCTTGATATCTTGTTACATTTAAATATAAAGTATATATTTAAGCCCCCTAAAAAAGGATGCTATAAATACTTTATTACACACAGAACGGAAAATGTCACTTTGACGCTTCAAATGTCGGCGCCACAGAAAAATCTCATAAAGACATTAAAAAGGGCAGTGAAGATGACCTTCAGCAGGCGGTGGCCACCATTGGTCCAATTTCTGTCGGCATCGACGCCAGCCATGGCTCCTTCCAGCTGTACAGCAGAGGTAGGGTTTTAAAATCCTGCACGTCATGAAATTTTGAGGCGGATCAAATGTTTTTCGAGGTGGATGTTGTCACGGATTAGTAGCTTTGTTTTTATGCATGTAGATTAATGAGGGGATGACTTTGAAAAAAAAAAAAATCAAATTTTGTTATACGTCTTGAAATTTATTCTATAGATTTTTGTATTTCAGAAATTTAAATTCTAATAAATTTGTTTTTTTTTTTTAATAAATTTAATTAAATGCTTCTTATTTTTTTAAATGTAGGCGTGTACAATGAGCCCCGTTGCAGCTCGAAGAAACTGGATCACGGTGTTTTAGTGGTAGGATATGGTACGGAGGGTAAAAAAGACTACTGGCTCGTGAAAAACAGGTAGGCGGACCTAACAGCCGTGTCTTCTGAGTCAATAATTTGAAAAAAAAAAAAAAAAAAAAAAAAAAAAAAAAAAAAAAAAAAACCACACAAGTACACATGTATATATATTTAAAAAAAATTTCTTTGTCAGAGTTATAATTATGAGGTTGTTGAATTTTAATCTTGAATGAGTTTTTCAAACTATAGATTTAAAAAAAAAATATGACAGTTGAAGATCCGATGATTAAACCATGCAACTATTTAACCGACTTTTATAACTCCCTGGATTTAGTCTCCATATGCTGTGATGCAATTCTATGACTTAAATATAGCATTTTTTATTTTGCACCATTCACGATTCGCTTAATGTCATCGTGCATAATTATGCTCAAAGTGAGAACTTGTTTTTATACTCTTTAATTGGAAAGGAGTTTAAGCAATACTTTTCCCCTTAATGTTTGAATTGACGTCATGAAATGTCACATTGTACAGAAATTTTTGCGACAGATTAGTGTTTTCCCACTCTCCAAAAAAAAAAAAAAAAAAAAAAAAAAAAAAAAAAAAAAAAAAAAAAATTGTATATAGAAAGTTACGATAAAACTTAAATGTAATTAATCTCGTATCTACTCCAGAGTTGCGAGTCTCTGTTATCATTTACTTTTAACTATTCATCCTCTTAACTAGAAATCTTTGATCAGCTTCCAGAATTTTTTTTTTTTTTCAGTTGGGGAAAATCGTGGGGAATGAAAGGTTACATTATGATGTCCAGAAACAAGAAGAACCAGTGCGGCATTGCCACAGGTGCTTGCTACCCAGTGGTGTAAAAAAACTGGATCCGCCACCAGAAATATTCAAACGCCATTTAAATTAGTACCGTATATGCAATCCTCTCATCTGCATCTCATTAGTGATTCAGTGTCGGCAGTATAAAGTTTAAACGTCAAACACATGGACATAGAATGGTTTAAAATAAAATCAGAATTATACACGTGTCTTTATTTGCTTTAATTATGGTTTTTTTTTTTTGTTCTGCAGTGTGAGATAAAAAAAAATTGGGGCGATTTCTACGCCTTGTGCTATGGAGTACATTTGCGAAGATTTTGTGTTTATTTTTCGATATTGTTGGTTGTTAGTGCTTAATATTTGAAATGTACTTATTTTTCCGTCATATTATATTTTTTTTCTCATTACTGCTCCCTTATATGTCAAAATTAATGAAAATAAAATATCGGGAAAATTACACAATTGCCTTTAAGGCCCCTTTCTATATAGTGCACACTGGAGATTTCCAATTTCGTGGTATTTTTATGCCAAAAGAGTGATCTGCCCTTCCACCTTGAATCAATACAATTGAAATTTCATTGTTTTTCTCAATTTGTAATCAATTCGAAAATTCTTTACAAAATCTGAAAATCTTTGAATAAATCTGAAAATCTTTCAATAAATCTGAAAATCTTTTACCAAATCTGAATGAATTATTTTGCAATTTATTTATTTAATTATAAATTAATTTATTATTAATTATTATTTTCAAATTTAAGGAAGGTTATTTCTGTTCAACAACTCTCCATTTTTTTTTAAAGTTTTTTCCCACGTGGAAAATGGTGTGCACACTATTTGAAATTAATTTACCCAATATTAACATATTTATTCAATAGCACATTTTAAAAAAAAAATACTTCCGATCTCACTTAGTTAGTTTACTTGATTCTGACGATCACCCGAACGCCCGGGTAACACGGGGGATGACTATTGAATGTGAGCCGGTCTAACGACGAAAAGTGACTCCCGTACAATGTTGACCGGGGATCATTTTTCTACGTAGAAATTTTACCCCCTGGTCAATATTTTATGTAGAAAAATGACCGACTTTTTTGTAGAAATTATGGCCTTGGGGTCATTTTTTTTTCCATGTGGATTGTAGAAAAATGACCCTGTAGAATAATGACCCTGAATCATTTTTTTGGAAAAAAAGAGAAAAAAAAATGCATGGTTTTGGTAGAAAAATTCTTTTTAGGTAAAATACATAAAAGTTAAATAACGCAGCTTGATGGTATGAAGTGTTCATTTCTAAAAGCTTTCAAGTTTAAATGACAAAATTAAAAGGTTATATTATACTTTACATTAATAATACAAGATGTTTTATTCCCATTAAAGGAAGACCTAACAAGGCTATAATGATGTTTTCTGACTTTTAGAGCAAGAATACGCACATTCCTTGATTTGTTTTATCACATTTAATAAAATAAGTTTTCATAGTTGTAATTATTTAAAAAGTCAAGATCATTTTGTTAGCTGATATAAGGAAGAGACACATATAAATAAAACATGTATAGTTTCCATAATTGTAATCCCCTTTGATTTTACTGTAGAAAAATAATGTGCAACAAGTAAAAATATAGTCTCCTTTTTTTTCTTCAGAATTGTAAGAAAGATTAAAGTTTTGGATCCCTATCCAAATTAATCTGCGTGAAAAGGAAGATTGATATGAAAATTGGATCTCGTAAATATCTTTGATTTTTTTATGAATAAAGTCTCATTAAATAAAGGGAAGATTTAGTTTGTGAAAAAATAACACACTGTACTAAATCAATATGCCTCGAGCTCTGACCTTCGATATCAGGGGCACAAAAAGTGATTAGCTCAAAATCTTAACCAATGCCTTGAATTTTGCCGTTTGCTAGTGTCAACAAAATGAGACTTTTTGCATCAAAACATTTGATTAATCAAAAAAAAAGGTGTTTGGTATACCAAGAATTGACACAAATCTATACACGGTAGTATCGTCTTTCCACTAGTTACTGAGTACATGTAAAAATGTTTACCAATAAAAAAAAAAAACAAAAAAAAAAAAAAACAAAAACGAATGTTGCACTATGAAAGAAAAAACTTCGCAGTCTCAAATTTATATAATTTGTTTTTCGAGTATTGTCATTGATTGACATTTGAAGTTGCGTGTGCAAAAATATATAGAACTGCACAAAAAAGTGTGTTGTGCTTGCTCTTATTCTTCTTTTGATAAATAGTTTTAGTGCAATATTTTTATGGTTCAATGCATAGGTGTATCCAGAAACTGGTGAAAGGTGGGGGGGGGGGGGGGGGGTAGTAGATTGAAAGCAGGTGAAAATTTAAAGGTGGGGCCTAAAACCTGTCCTTAAAATGGTTTGTGATATCATTCCTACAGTTGTATCATTGTCAGAAACATATCTGGTCAATTTCGGAACAAAACCTTTGAGGAATAAAAACGATATATATGAATGGCTCAATTATTTTACACATTGAACACAGGATTGATAATTTATTGTAAATAAGATTGGCTTGTCTCCAAATCATGCACTGCAGTTAGGTTCTCCACATTTTTCTCCTGTCATATAAATAAAGACTTCGGGCATTATAATTTTGGGGTTCTCAAGAAATTTCGAATTTCTGACCTGTTCGCTCCCTCTTCCCCCCTCACCCTCGGTCCTTTTCGTAATCTAAATTCTTCCTTCAGACTAGGAATTGAATGCTTGTTTCAATTGTTTTACGATTTTTAAACTTTATCTCTATAATGTTGCATGGCTTGAGTAGGGCGCTATGTGCTACAGAGACAATCCAGTTACTATTTTTAAGCACACATTTTGCATGGCTCTCTGTTTTATTGAGTTGCTTTACTGCTTAATTGAATGACAGAAATTTCCCCTGAAGCATGGCTAAGACCTGTTATAAGGTGAACATTTACTCAAATTACACCGATGGCCCAACGGTTAATCAATTGACACTATCCATTCAAAACCGTTAAGTGGAAACCTATGGTTAGTAGAGTAGAACCATGCAACAAGTAAAATTACATGTAGGTTTTATTAACAGTACGCATCTGAATAAAGCACCAAAAGAACATTTATATGCAATGAGAAAATATGACATACCGGGTAATGCGTAGAACAACGAGGGAGTCATAATGCAAATGCATTTTGGCTAATTCAACGCAACGACACGATGTCTGAACAGGATAAAAATTATAAATTTTAAGTAAACTGAATGCATACTAGGGAAAGGAATAGTGAATGTCAAACCCTAATTACATACCTGGTCAAATAAAATATGTTTTGTAGACCTCCTCCCTGCAAGTGGATAATTTAGGGCATCAGCCGAACATCTACTTTTCAAAGTGATACAACAAATAATATCCAACTAGGATTTCAAACTGACATATCATCTTCCTTGCATGTTAGTAAACATATAAGTATTGTTCTTGAAGCATATAAAACTCTTCTTCATTAAATACGCAAACAACGCAATGATCTAATTGTGAACTGGGAAGCAGTATTTTCTGTTGTGTGAAGTTATCGCCCTTATTATATTAAAATGAATTCATTTATTGCAAAAATAAACAATTCTACGAAATTCATTTTAAAGTATATTGATCAAGAATAAACAATTTATAATTTCTTTTAAGAAATCGATTAAAATATTCTCATTGTTTTAGAATAAGTATTTTCCCCAGTAGTTTTTATTGTAAATGAATTATAAAACATCTATGTATTTTGCTTATATATAGTTTGTTTCAGAAAAACAAAACGTAACTGAGTTAAACAGACAAGAAAAAATAAAGAGAGGGATATGGAGTGAGGTGAGAGAATGGGGAGATAGACAGGAGAGAGAGAAAGAGAGAGTGGAGAAGGGGAGAGAGAGAGAGTGGGGGAGAGAGTTGGGGAGTGGGAGAGGGCGTGGGGAGAGAGAATGGAGAGTGAGTGGGGAGAGGGAGTTGGGGAGAGGAAGTTTGGGAGTGGGAGAAAAAGTGGGGGGAGAGAGAGAAAGTGGAGAGGGGGTCGGAGAGAGAGAGAGAGAGTGGATGGGAGAGAGATGGGGCTTGAGAGAGAGTGAGGAGAGACTGAGGGTAGAGAGAATGGAGAGTGAGTGGGGAGACAGAGTGGGGAGAGGGAGACAGTGGGAGAGAGAGAATGGGGAAGAGAGGAGATGATGAGAGAGTGTGGAGAGAAAGTGAGGGGGATAAAGTGGGGAGGGGGTCGGAGAGAGAGTGGAAGGATAGAGAGGGAAGGGGGAGAGAGATGGGGCGTGAGAGAGAGTAAGGAGAGAAATGGGAGGTTGGGAGTGAGAGAGAATGAGGAGGGGAGGACGTGGAGAGGGGTCAAATAGAGAGAGAGAGAAAGAGAGAGAGTGGTGAAAGAGTGGGACGGGAGTGTAGGGAGGGAGTGGGGAGGGAGTGATTGTGCGAGTGAGAGAGGAGGGAGAGAGTGGGGAGAGGAAGAGTATGCTCTACACATGAACATTTTCTTAAATATGGTAAGTTACTGACAAATTAAGAAAAAAAATATCAATAGTCTCTTTTAAAGTAATCATTTTGTAAGTTCTATGGTCGATACAATGACCTTGTTAGTAAAAACAATCTATCATTAAGTCAAATCCTGACGGACGATTTTCATACAAATTGTTAGGCCTTTACTTACACACTGAATTGTCGACAGATTTTCCTTCTGATGTTAGAGGTCCTTGCTTGCTGTAGTCCTGATTTGTACTGTTCGTTATCACCATATTTCATGAATTATTTCAAGCTTATGCACGGCATGCAGGGATCTAGATGGGCTTCATTTAAACTTACGGGTATCTGATTTCTTGAAAGTGGTAACAACCTGTGCATTTTGTGATTATTAAAGATGTAATGTTAAGTAACAATAATATTAAAAGTGTGATGGTACCATACATTGTGGTTTAGTAAAAGCATAATATTTTTGCTAATACAATACAGTAACAACGTTTATCCTGTATACTTTCTTTAAACGGCATTAAATAATGACAAATCAGTGTTTGGTTAACAAATAATTTTTCAAAAGGTTATTTTAATAATGTTCACTCCTGTTGGGAATTGTTAAGGTTCATCGACACTGATAAGAGAGATAACTCTAATTGAAAAAAAAAAAAAAAAAAAAAAAAAAAAAAAACTATTATCCATTTATAAGTTGTCATCTTAGGTCATCTCCGTCGACTTTTACCTCAGTGTATGCTGATGGTGTATACATTTTTTATTAAAAGGGTTAAAGCAACATTTTAATTAAGTGAAGAGGGGAGGGCGGATGATGAACTTAAATACCCAAACCCACGAACTTATCCGAACAAATCCATGATAAAAATTGCCTTTAATTATTATTGTTATTTTGTGAAGTTTGTGATTACAAATTATTTCTTTTAAGCCAAGTATTCCTATAGAGACGATAGTTTGTTTTGTTAGGCATTTGCTTGTACTAGAATTTGAAATTTATCAAGAAATTGTTGAAATATGAATTTCATGTATTACACTTTATTATAGGCATTTCATTTCTTAGTGAGGGGTAGAAGTAAATGGTTATTATTGTCATCTACTTTCAGAAATACTCAAGAACACAACCTTGTCCTGGTATTTTCTACTTTTATAATGTTAAAGTCACATTTCCCACAATGTTTAATCATCAACCCTTATTTCAGCTGATCTAAAGTCATTGTCATGGGATCTTAATGTATCTCCAAGTTTGGATCGAAAGGCTGTTACTTCATCCTTATCTCCACCCTCTGGAAATTCTATATAAGATTTTGATTCAATCAAATCCATGAATGAGAATGGTATTTTTTTCATGGCGCCTTTCTCTAATGCCACCAAAAACAAAACGTTTTCTCCATTTCGGGAATAAATGGCTTCCATACGTGCCATGTTAAGTTCAAACATGCACCAGTATGATTGTAAAAAATGTGAAGTTATGACACAGACGGTTTTCCTGCTATAATGAATAGCGTTCGTGATATTATCGGCTATCCCTGTTCCTGGGATGAAATCACGATGATGTATACACAGCCTTAAATTGAATTCTTTTTCCAAACGTTTAACAAGGTCGATCACAAATATTCTGTCTTTGTCAGCATAAGATAAAAATGCATCAAAATAATACTGATCGTCTAATGTATCTGGTCTCTGAACATCGTCTTTATATTTTTCCCTCGCCACGTAATACATATATCTCAGTTTCCATCTATATCTATAAAGAATACGGCTGATGGTGATTGTTAAGAGGACGATTATTAATGACGTCATAATGACGATGATGAGAGTATACGAGGAACACTGCTTCTCCATCAATTGTAGTAACTCGATATTTGAGAATCGAATTCTTGAGGAATTGGAAAAAGTACACAAATAATCATCTAAATGAAGAAAAACAACATTCTTTGATTTGAGCACCCATTTCATAAATTCTAAGTTTTCACAATTACATCTTAATTTGTTGCTCTTCAAATTCACAGAGACAAGCCTCTCTTGTGATATTGCATCTAGCATATTTCTAGTTTCCGTATTCATGGTAGATATCTGGTTATTGGAGAGGTCTAGGTGAGACAAACGAACCATTTGATTGATTGGTACTGTAAACTCACTCAGAGAATTATAACTGAGATTAAGAATCTCTATTTGTTTGAGATTCCGAAATATTTTCGTAGGAAGTCGGACGATTCTGTTTCGTGTAAGGTTTAACGAGTTCAACGTACGGAGATTTTGGAATATTTTACCGTCAATGTCATTTTCCAGATTTTCACCAAGAGCATTATGTGAGAGATCAAGATAACACAAGTTCTTGAAATCTTCGAAAAATCTTGGTGAGATATTGCTGCAAAAATTGTTGGAGAGGTCCATATAAACTACATTGTCTATGCCTGTAATAGGTCCATTCATCTCATAGATAATATTGTTCTGCAAGTATACCTTTGACAATGCAGATTTTGTTACAGAAGTAAAAGCAAAGTCTTGAAGAGTCATTTTATACAAGTTGTCATGAAAATACAAAGATTTTAATTTAGGTGGCAAGTAGATTGTTATGTTTTTAGGTCTTAGTAGGGATGAAAATCGTCTATTGTTCGAAACCAAATTTCCATGCTGGTTTTCTGACATAGTGGCACAAACCGGCCTAGTATCATTGCAGCCAATGAAAAAATCTTTTATTTTTAGTTGATGGAAAGAGGACTGAAAACTTGCATTTAGTGTCACCATGTTGTCCATCACACCGAACTCAGCAAGATATAATCCAAAACTGAGTACGTTATTGGCCAAATTCAGATGCTTCAGTGACTTGGGTAGCTCAGTGAGAACACCTAGTTCCAGGCTGTTGATGCGATTTGAAGCCAGGTTAAGGTCCTCCAACTGTGTATACTTTAGGTAAGCAGTGTGATATCTTTTTACAATGAAACTAACCCCGTACGTGCACTGCAGTTTCTCAAAATTCAACACTCGGATTGAAGCAGAATTTCTAAAATCACTCGATATATTGGCCACAACCTCTAAAGTTAGTTCCTGATTACCGGAAATATCAAGATGCAATAAATTTGAAGAGTTTTTAAAGGAACCCAGTTCAATCGTCTGAAGAGAGTTTTCCGAAATGCTTAAATTCCTCAGATATTTATATTTTACCAATGATTGTTGATCAATGTTTCTCAGCTGATTCCGAGAGACATCCAAGTACCGGATGTTAAAAGGAAGGTTGGCAGGAAAAGTAGAAAGTTCATTGTTAGCAAGATTTATTCCTATGACGTCACTGTTAAAAGATGGTGCAGATTTGAGATCTAGATATTCACATTTTGCCCATAATTGTCCATTTACTCTATAACACACGCAGTGTTTGTTTGACGAACAACTCAAAGCTTTTATTCGTATCATTGTCATAATAGTGAGTAAAAATCCCAATTCAAATGCTGCACATTCCATCCTACAAAAGATTAAAATCACAAAAAGAATCAGCCCTCTCCCACCTCTTTTGACTAACACTTATTTAAATAAAGTAAAAATAGTATATTCCTCAGAAATCATATCCCATTTTATATATACAAGAAAATCATTCTTCTTTATTGCTTTTAGCTTTACTGGTTATCGGTAAATACAAAGCATTAATGAAAATATAGTACAAAAGTATAGAAATTTGCACGTACAGGTTTAAATATCATTTAAGGTGGATAGGAATGCTTTCATACTAAAATAGATGTTACAAACAATAGGAAATAGCAAAATCAATGACAATTTAAAAGTAAGTTATGAAAATACTGTTTTTTTTTTTTACAATTCTTGAGAAAGTATTCAAGCAAAGTCGCCATTCGAATACGTAAAAAAAGTCAATGAAAACATAACGAGCGTTCTCAATATATATTGATATAGAAACACTGAAATTTATGCTAAAAAATAAAGTCTTATTTGTATTCGGATTCGAAAGTGTTGTATTAAAAATTATTCAGGCTAGAGTTAATAAAAGTGTCACAAATATTATCATTGCAATTTTTCGAACAAGGAAGTTTGAATTTGTAAAGAGCTTGATTATATACCGGTTCATACTGAGAGTTCTTGTTTAAAAAGCCAATGTACATGTCTCTAAAATTGTAAAAAAAAAAAAAAAAAAAAAAAAAAAAAAAAAAAAAAAAAACAATGAAAGTTATGCAACCTTGCCTGTAAATGATTAACCCATGTGCTCCCAATATTAGTTCATATTTTTCAGACAAATGCTGTCTTTGAGCTCACATTCCCATTTTAAGGATTCTGCTGTTTATGCTGAGGAGTCAATCATTTTACAGAATTTAACTCCACTTGTTTTATTTTTTGCCCACTAGCCCCATTTTATCTTTTCCTATTTTTATTCCTTTCTCAACATATATTAAAAAAGGTATTTCCAGAAAATGTTTTCAGAGAAAAATTCTCGATTAGTTATCTATAAAAAGTCCCAAGAAGTCGGGTTTCCCTCCAAGTTTTCAATGCCATATGCTTAGTGACTCATATTTTTTTCCCCTAATTTGTTTCAAATAATGAATACATCGAATTAAAGTGTCAAAAATGAAAAGTTTAATTCAAGTTTTCTCAGCAGAATACATCTTTAAAATATTTGAAGAGATTGTTAAAATGCCATTACAACCGCAATATGCTCGATTATAATCATCAGTCTTGATTACATGTCTAAAATTTTGTAACGAAAACTTTTCAATGTACACAGACCTTTTAGATCTTCCTGGTTCTGTCGCTGTTGGCCATCGGTCACTGGGTGGTCAGGTAAATAAACACATTCTGTAAGATAAAATACCACATGAATTTAAATCCCCAATATATTCACATTATAAAGGCCGTGAAGTGAAGTTTAACGTTAAGGTCAATGGCAGATTTATAGGCAGCCACAAAAAAAGATTGTCTATTTTTGTGAGTCATTGATAACTGCGGGAAAAATGTACTGAATCAAATGTTCTAAATCAAAGTTAAGGTACCTTTGACAATTGAAACGCACACCAGGTCGGATTATGTTGATCTTAAGGTAGCTTTCTTTGGGTAGCCTTTGCATTAAACACCGCCATATCCTACTATATAGATAAAATCATTGAAAAAAGTTCTTACTTAGAATTTAATACTACATGATATTTTTGAACTTCTGTAGTTTGACTTTTAGATTATTTGACTTATGTCTGTTTACAATTATAAAGTTGATTGCGGTTGTTTTGCAGTTGCTTTTTTTTCTCCACCGATATCTCCTTATATAATAACTTACGATCAAGAAAATAAGAAAGTGTATTCCGCTTATATCTCTAAAAACGAAGAGAAAGAATTCCAAACATTTTTATTCAGAGTTTCGATCGTTTTGTATTTTTCAATTTTACTGTTAGATATATCTTTTTTAGACATTCAGTTCGATCATTATTCACAATTAAAAAAAAATACTATTGGGTGTTAAATGGGAAATTCAACTCTTCACATTCTATAATTCAACCTTAGAAATCATCTGAAAATTCTTAAAAGTGACTAAAGGATAAACTACGTGTTATTATCATCAGGATGTTCCAGCAGATTCTCGTCTCGTGATGACTTAAACAAGGGCGATGGAGGGGGTGGGGTGATTTAATAAACAAAAAATGTTTTCCATGGTTGTTATTGAATGGGAATTCATGGTGCAGCTGATGTATAAAAAAAAAAAAAAAAAAAAAAAAAAAAAAAAAAAAAAAAAAAAAAACATAATCTGCATAAGCGCGTGGAGTATTTTTTCTTCAATACCTACAACGTTAATTCCTTTACCAACAAACAAAAAAGACATGTTATTGTTTATATTTATATCTGTATTAATAATCGTCTAAAGTAGGTGAAGTACGTTAAATATTATATGTTTCAAGAGGTCAATAAATCTATAAAGGTGATATGCTTAGTGACGTTTACTGACTGATAAACGATCATGACTTTCTTAAGAAATAAAGGAGATAATATTCAGTGGATGTAAATATTGCAAGGTAAGAAATCGAATATCTACAGTATACACACAGTAAGGAAACAGTATAACGCATTTGCTATATTTTTCTATTTGAATTTTTTAATTGTCCTCTTGAATTATTTATTTCTATTCTTTATTTCGTTTTCATATTGCATCGATTTTTTTTTGTGAAATAAAAGTATACCATATTCTAATTAAAGAATACAAATAAATTTTGTTATCGAATACAAAATTAATGAAAAATTAATGCTTCTTGAAACGCTATTTTATATAAGTGATGCATTATACAATCTAAATTTAAATGATGGGATGTAACTGAAGGAATATAGAAATGTAGATTCCATAATCTGTGCCAGTTAGTCATCGATTTTTTTTTCCAAATTGAATTCCTTAACGTTTTTTTTTTGGTCAATTGGCGCTAGGTTTGCTTTCAATGAAGATTGAAAATCATAAAATTATAGAATACAGATAAAAAAAAATTACATAGCAAATGAAATATCATACAAAACGCTTGAAGAAATTATTATATATATCAACAAATCGTACGCCGTAGAACTTTAAAATTATTTTAATTTAAATAACCTATAAATCTTTAAAAAAAATTCATTCATCAATCATGTTTGATATTATTGATTTATAAACTATTTATTATTTTGAATTTTACGTTTCATTCCCTCTCTTTTCAACTAATTCTGTATCATAATAAAATATCATTGACATGAAAGGGAGAAGATCCATACTTTTTGATATCACATTTATTTTTCATGTATATAATGAAAAGTACTTATATACCCTAAACACGTGACTCAAGTTATGTTAGTGTAAGAAACTAATAATTAGCACAGGCTTTGGCACGTGATGACTCTATGTAAAAGACCCAACAATCTCTTCTAGGAAGCACTTACAAATCGACAGATCAGACAAGATTCTTCTTTTACATACATAAGACAAGTTACACCTACAAAATACATATTGTGAAAGTTAACGATTATTTGATTGCGAGCAAATTATATAACCTTATTCTCAATGACAATCCCTGGCGCGTCCTCAGTGATATACTGAAGTGATCGATTACACAATATCTTAAAGTGTACAGCAAAGTGTTTGTGATACGCCGCTCTCCTCAAAAACAAGGATTGTAAAGAAGAGTGTCGGAAACACTTGACTAGCGAGGTTGATTCTCGAGACATACCACATAAAGTCTTATTTATGCAAACCAAGTACTGCTGTAGATTATGAAGAAAGAGTTTAGAAATGTATAGTTTTCATATGAAGTCCTTGTTTTTCTTAGGGTCCTATTTCTCAGTTGATGAATTTGTACAATGGGTTCTAAATGTCTGTCTTGGTCTCATTTCCGAATTAATGAATAAATATGTTCAATGTTTCAAAAGTAAGTAGAAAAATATTTTATTGTTCTATTCAAATTGAATTTTGCTACTAAATACCCTGTGTAAAAAGAAAAAAAGCTTATCATAAGGCGCGAAATCAACAAATCAAATCGCGATAACTTTTCTTCGCGTAATACACGAGATGATCTGCTTACGGAAATGTCATTCCAGCATTTATTTTTATTATATAACAATACCCAAAATTCATGTACATGTATATTTTGACTCAAATCCCTTTAGAACGCTAAATGCATATCTTGCAAAATGAAAGTGTCGCTAAAATTAGGTAATCTACAGTACAATTTATGTGTGAAATGTCATTTTAACAATTCTGGTGAGTTTCCTTATTCCTACGATCAAGGAAACGGTGTGATAGAAAACAAATGATATATGATGCATAGAACAATAATATAAAAAGCAAAGAACTTAACGCTCTGTAAGGTTATAATCCCCTCTTTTTACAAATTAAGAATTAAGTAATAAAAAAATGTGAAGTTCTGAATTTTTTTGTAAGATACATTGTCATGAACTGATCTTGCATAACATCATATATGTATTGCTGTTCGTTATATAATGATAGAGAGTTTAAGTAAAAAGTTATATACACTGAATAACTTATACCTACCTCAACAGATTCGGCCTTTAGATTTTTTTTATGAAACAAGTCAGTCATACACATATCCACAATTTAGGATAATAACGTGATATTTAATATCACGTCTCGTGGAAAGACACAGTCAAGTAGGAGGTCAAAACACTCCAGTAAACAGATGCGTACTGTGCATTTCCTTTTCCATCCCTATAGCATACGAACACTGATAAAATACGGTTAAGTTCATTAATGGTACAACACGTAGAAACTGATTTATTTACTGAAAGTTCAGAATTGTCCATGTCCGCAAATAACGAAATACATGTAATTTAAGACATATTGATAGAAATGGAAGAAATAAAACAAAAAAGAAACTAAAAAAAAAAAATACTAAACGTTGTAAAAATTACAAGTTTTTTTCTATATCAGATATTGTCCTAATGCGAAATGTGCAATATATCATCATAAAATCATCATATTGAAAGGCAAGCTTGAAAGCAAGCATCGTGTAACCTATAGCAACCGGCGACAGGGGGACCTGCCCCATTCCTTATAATTTCCCAAGATATATTCAACAAAGATAATTAATAATAAAAACTGATAGCCTTTTTTCTCTTGCTTGTTAAAGAGTTAGGATGTGTCCCTCCGGCCCCTCTCCCACCGAAAAAAAATCTAAAATTGTTTCATAGTACATAAAATCATACAACCTCATACTAAAAGTGCATTGTATCGATAGAATTTATTTTAAAAAGAGAAGGACTGGAGGTGCCAGAGGGGGTAAAATCTTCCACATGTCTTCTGCACAAAGAGGCTTTGTCTTTACATTATGCATGTACACACAATATAGGATTAAACTTTTCTAATCACGTCTCTATGAAAGCAGATACATAACGGGAAGTTGCATTTATTTAATATAAGATGTTAACAAACCAAAGTGCAAACTGAACATTTTAATTGTCATTTGAAGCAATGGAAGCATTAAGGTTATGCAAGGGGAAACACGCGCCTTTAAGGACCCTCTAGACACCAACGAAAATATTATTTGAACATTAAGATAATAATATTGTATGAAGGTGTAACTATTGGGTTTATCTTTTTCATTTTCAAAATAGGGTTCCGGCCATTTACCCCACTACAATTGTTCGAAGATAACGAAGTACTGATGAACAGAAATCATTGTTGCTTACTTGGATGGTGAAAATTGCAAATAAATTGTTCAATTCATCCAACTTGATCTAATAAAATGTAAAGAATGCTTGAAGTGATTTCAAATTTAGTAATTCAATTTTTAATTAAATTTATTTATTTCAGATCTAAGGGCAGAACACTCAAACTGCATAAAAATACCATAGAGTTAGAACTCTTCAGTATACAGTGTATAGAAGTCCTTCATTCGAATAAGTTTTTCATTTTCACTCTTTTACCTTAAAAATAATGGCAAATATTTGTCATTCAAACATAGACAATCGCCAAACTCTCATAGAAATCAGGAAACATATAGGTATTATTTTGACAGCATCAAACTGAAATTATTTACGGTGATTTTAGCCAAGGATAATCTAATGCACCATACCTTGAAATTTATCAAATTACACTGTTGCATATAAATAAGCTATTGGGAATTGTAAAATATTCGTTTTATATGTACCGAATTAAGAAATACATGTACATTTAAATTTTAAGATTCACTGAAGCAGTGCTTTAAAATAAACAAAAGAACTTACGACTACGATCAAAATTTATTTCTGCCACATGTAATAACTTTCTATTTTACGTTAATTTGAGATTTTAGTCTAAGTTGTAAGTTCTTTTGTAAAATCAAACCCCAGTGCATTAAAAATAAACATGTGAAAGAAGTATCAGGTCAATCCGTTATGAACATTTACAAAAAGGAGGAGGGGGGGGGGCATTATTGAGATTTATACACTTCAATTATTCAACTCTCTATAATCGAGAAAATGACCGGGGATTATTCCCCGATTTTAGTTAACTAAAGGTATTTTCCAGTCTGATTCATATATTGCTCCTCAACGTTTGTAGGTTACATGATATCATACAGAGAAATAAGCTATCCTTATACATGTAATGCGTTACTTTAAGTCACTGAAAATTGACATTGATAAAGAAGAATTCGGTTAATGAATAAACCTTTGCTGGAAATACCTTTGGATTCTTTGAATTAAGTTGAGATATCATTATAGAACGACATTTAAAAATTTACCTGTTTATCACTTAATGTGCATTAGAAAGTATTATGATCAAAGAGCATCACGATCAGTAACCCTACATGTATGTACCAAAACTGTATAAGTACTTAAAGGCATGTATGAACAAAAACTGTGCAAGTACTTAAAGCTCTTTATAATGGAATTTGATAATAGAATTCTATATTTCCGGCTAATATATCTCACTTAGTCACATAGTGCAAAGTTTGAAGACAGGAAATATTATTTGGACACAAACTGGCACTCATGGATTTTCCGGTGAACTCGTCAGTCATAAGATGTCAATTTTCTTTCAAACCTTTACATTTATTGTTGAGTGGTTTTTATTAATGTTTCGTAATATGATACTCAAAAAAAAAAAAAAAAAAAAAAAAAAAAAAAAAAAAACCCTAATAATACATCATATATGTACCTTTCGTATTCTTCATGAAATGAAAACGGTAAGGATCTTCAGATTTAACAGGAAGTTGATATCCAGTTTATCTCTCAGAAAGGTTTGACTATTTGAGAAATTACAAAAAGGAAGGATATATATCGATTTATGTACTCGGAGATTTCGGGTCAATTTGTAATTAGTAATGATTAGTATGTGATGCTAATGAAATAGGACTGAGTAGCTGGATCGGCCTACTTGTTTTCTCCTTCAAAGTGCACTTATCTTGCCAGATATGAAAATAGATGAGTGATGACATCCGAAATTCAAGATGTTGAAACAAAGTAGACTGCGTATTATGTGATTACACATTCATTATATGACGATATTGAGGAAAAACAACTTGGAGCTTGTTTTCTAGTATATGTCAATTTCCGGGTTTGTCCAAGTGAAAAAAAAATCTCTCAATTTCATTGTTACATCTACGGGATTGGGAAAGAATTATTCAGGATAATTCGTTTGGAAAAGTAAGATTCTAATTTTCTTTTTCTTGGGTAAAAATGTGAATTTCAAAATTAAGAAGATACTTATAAATATAAGTAAGATCAGGGATAAACAATAAATAAAAGAATGACTTCATTTACCACATATATCTTCCAAATTCCAGTATATATCAGTAATCATGAAGGAAAAATACAGTCAAATATATAACTTAATTATTGTAAGTTACATCTGTGATTCAATACTGATCGAAGTGCAAACACTAATTTTTCAATATATATATATATATATATATATATATATATATATATATATATATATATATATATATATATATATATATATATATATATATATATATATATATATTCACAAATAAACATAAGGGACGTAAAGGTATGCAACCTGTGTACTTAATCAATTTTCAGTCTAAAATTTAAACTGTTGTCAGATGCATATTATTTAAAATATGACGTGTGAAAATGTTTCTTTTTTAAACTATTACTCTTTTGTTTCCAGGAATGGGGGCCTTATGCAGGTTCTTGATCGTAATCTATATCTTTTTGTTTGGCGTGACGGGAACCAAATTTGAATATCTTTCTGGAAATCCGTGTACCTTTAAAACGCACAAAGGAAAAATCTTTGCTGTTTGCATAGGTCTTGATCTGGATAAAGCACCAGAATTTCCAGAAAGTGTCATTGGTATCAACTTTGCAAGGAATAAATTTTCAAATATACCCAAAAACCTTCCAAGGAGCCTAATGTACCTAGATATGTCTCATAACAATTTTCAGTCATTAGATAATTCCTCTTTGGAAAGATATCGACAACTTCAGAATTTTAGTGTCTCTTGGAACAAACTTTTCCACATTCCAATTGGTACATTTCAAACAAATTTAAATCTTGAACATCTTGATATTTCCAACAATGATATTCTTACAACTGAGGTATTACCCAATATATCTTATGATTTGAAACACTCACGAATAAAAACGTTAAATTTTGAAAAACTTCAGTGCACTTACGGAATCTCTCAGATTATCAAAATGTATCACGTTGCACATTTGAAACACACCCATCTACAGGAATTAAACTTAGCGTCAAACAGGATAAATAGTCTTGAGAAGGGTGTTTTAGTTTCACTCCCAAAATCTCTCCGTGTCCTAAATCTAGCAGATAATATTCTAAGCTTTGGACTTTATATCATGGAATTTGCTGTTCTACAAAGTTTGGAGATACTGAATGTTAGTTTTCAGTCCTCATTTCATCAAGTGGGCATGACTGGTGACTTTTTCGAAAAATGCAACGATACAAGAAGATTTCAAAGGGTTGATCTTGAATCTTCTGAAAAGGCATACAAAAACAATGACCTAAACAACGATTCATCATTTGGCGGATCAATGTCTAATGATGTTGATTTTCCTACAAAAGTAGACAATTACATGGTCTATTTGCCTCCAAATCTGCGAAAACTTTATTTTCATGATAATCTGTATAAAATGTCTGTACCAAAACTACCCATTGGACCAAACAACAAATTAACACACATATATGCGCAAAGAAATATTATTTTTGAGGTAATTGGACCATTCACAGGACTTAAACATGTCCGATATGTTGATTTTTCCGGTAACTTTTGTGGTTATGTTTCAAAATCCTTCTTAAAGCCATTTACAGGTATAGAGTTTTTGAATATTTCTAACAATGCTTTCGGACAAGTTTTTGAAAAGGATAAGGATGGAGAAATGCTCTCATATCAAACTCGACTTTTATCCCTAGACTTATCCTTCAACAGAATACATAGTCTATCAGGTGACGTTTTCCAAAAGAACAACATGTTGAAATACTTGAACCTAAGTTATAATTCTTTAAATGAATTTGCGGTTCAGATTAACAACATGAAAAATCTGTCTTTATTAGATTTATCTTTCAATCAATTGACTTCTCTGGAATCATCTGCGAGAAAAGCCTTGAATAGCATAGCAAGAGATAAAGAAGTTTATGTAAATTTGTTGGGTAACCCACTGAAATGTTCTTGCGAAAATCTCGATTTTATCAAGTGGATGCATTATTCTTCGACATTGAATTTTGTAATGTTGGAGAATTACACTTGTGAGTTTCAACATTTTAAAAAATTTCCGTTGACTGAAATTGAGAATTTACTTCAGAAAATGGAGAAAAAATGTTCTTCGTATACACTTATTATAGTAGTGATGACGTCATTGATAGTCGTTGCTTTAACAGCAACATTAAGTCGCATCGTATTTAGATACAGATGGAAGCTGAGATATATGTATTATGTCGCAAAGGAAAAATATCAAGGTGAGATCTTTGATGATGAAACCATCACGAAAAGGTCATATCGCTACGACGCCTTCATTTCCTACGCGGATCAAGACCGTAGATTTGTCATTAATCTTGTACGTAAGTTAGAGAATAAATATGACATACGATTGTGTATTCATCACAGAGATTTTATTCCCGGTACAGGAATAATGGACAATATTACTAATGCCATTCACTGTAGCAGAAGAACTGTCTGCGTTATGACGTCACACTTTCTTGATTCCTATTGGTGCATGTTTGAATTAAACATGGCGAGAATGGAAGCCATTTATTCTCGAAACGGTAGAAATGTTTTGTTTCTAATTATCTTAGAGAAAAATGCCATGAAAAAGGTTCCTCTATTTCTGATGGACCTCATTGAGAGTCAGTCCTACCTGGAATACACGGAAGAAGAGAAAGAGACAGAATATTCAGCCTTCGAATCTAAACTTGGAGAGACATTAAAATCAACCGATTGTGCTTATCAACAGACGGGATGATGTATTGTAAATTTGTTTGGAATTAGATTTGTTTTGTCTTTTACTTCCGTGATTTTTTCAGTTCTTATTTCCTTTTTTTTGAATAAGAAAATATTAGAATTGTTGACTCTTTTCTAAAAAAAATTACTTTTGTGTGCAAAGTTAGTGAATTTTTTTTATTAATAAGGTATCATAAGAATGAAATAGTTGATTAATATTCCAGAGCAAAACAGACTTCCTGAAATGACTCTTCATTCAAATTAGGTTACAAAGATTGAAAAAAAAAAATTCTAAAAGACATGCATTAGGGCATATACTTGGTACATGCAACGAGTACCCCTTCTCTTAAATGAAAAGGGACAGAACTAGAGGTTCAGAAGAAGGAAAAAAAATGTCTTTTAGGTAGAGGCATTTGCATGTCCGGAAAATGTGTCGGAAGAAAATTCATTAATAAGCCTTGCTAAGTAAAATCGTAGACAAAGCGTTTTTATTAAAAAATAATGTGTACATGGAGCTTAAATTTTTACAAGTGTTTTTTCATCATTTTGAGTATATCTGAATATTGTTTTTTGAAATACAATGGTTGGACAAAAATAAGAATTTTATTACGGTACTTCAGCGTAAGACCAAAAAGTGAGGGTTTCATACGAGATTCCCCGTGTATTAACTCTGAATACTGTGGAATCATTTAAATTCGTGGGGGTCAATGTTCGTGGACAAGCAACATTTTATTGGTTGCGTGTGTGTGCAGCTTTGGTCCCTCAACTGTTTATGATAGAACAAAAGGGAATTCCAGTGTTTGCATCAGTGAAATTCACGATTCGGCGGAATCATTTAACGTTCCGTTAGACACTTTGACGTCATAATCCGTTTGTCGTTTGGCAATATAACACATAACATAAAATCCAATAGATTGTTTTTTAGCATATATCCATTTGGAACATGCTCTGAATATTGATGAATATGTACTAAAGAGTAGTGAAAGTTTTAGAACACAGTGTCGATTATTTTTCACTCTAGACAACTTGTTCACAATTCTACCAGACAACTCTGGTAATTAGACTAGAGAAATTGAAACTGTTAGAAATTTATAAATATCAATGATATACATGTATACCAACATGTAGACAATAAATTTGAGAAAATGTTAATTTTTTTAACATTGTGAACAGCTGGACATATGACTAATTGGTAAATTGTACGTTGTTTTACGTCCAATTCGAGAATTTTTCACTATATAAAGACGTCACCATATACCGGTGAAGGGCTTCAGATTTAATCCTTTGCTCGGCACTCAGGGCCATTGAGCAGTGACAGTTCTTTATCATGCCAACGTCTACCGCGACACGAGGCCTCGGTTTTTAAGGTCTCATCCGAAAGACCCGCAACTTTCACTTCAAAGTGTCGAGCGCATGGCGAAGGAAAATTTGCTACCCATTTTTCTTTATCGACTTAGGTCAGTCGCGGCCGTGATTCGGACACACGACCTTCCAATCATGGAAGCAGGACATATGAACGAATGGACAAAAATTAAGAAGGGCCTTCCGAAAACACTTAGAAATAATATTCCTTGATTCAAAGTGGGAAAGAATACTTAAAGATTGAAGATGCTTGATATTTGGTCTTAAATTTGCATCAGTATAATAGCAATTAACAGTGAAGTACTTAAAGAGTAAAATAACTCTATGGAAAGTAACACTCTATATGGAAATTAATGTATTTTTTCGAAGGCTTTCCATTTTTTTCAATGGTAACATGAACACGATCAGTGTTTAAGCATTAGGATATAGGGATATCTTTCTTTGTTCTTTATATATATGTAACTGGTTAAAATCAGCTTAACATTTAAGGTACCATTTGAATTTCAGAACGCCTAAATATAGTATTTATATATTTTAAAGAAATGAAGAAAATGTTTGTTGATAAAATAATCTATATTCTATTAAAGTACGAAAGAATTCGTAAAATAAATTGTAGGAAGAAAAAAATCATTATTAAGTTCACGTCTTAGAATCAAAAGTATTTACAGAGCATTTCTTACGCATTCATTTAATTAAATGATTACGCTATTTGTGTTTCTCACATTTGACTTTTTTTTTCAAATAATGTAATAACATCTATCCAAAAAAAAAAAAAAAAAAAAAAAAAAAAAAAAAAAAAATCAAAATACAGATATTAAAATTGATTAATTGCATGTTGTTTAACGTCCCATTCCATTTTTTTTTTCACTCGAATAAAGACATCACCACTGGCAAAGGGCTTCAAATTTAGTCCTTGACTCGGAACTCAGGGCCATTGAGCAGTGAATGATCTTTACCGTGCCATTGCCTGTCATGACACGGGGCTTCTGGTTTTAAGGTCTCGACCGAAAGATCATGACTTACACTTTTAATCCAGGACGTTTGGCGAAGGAACAGTCAACCATAAACTGACAGATGAACAGAAGGACAGCTAAATGGACAGACGAACTGAAGAATGAGATTTTATATCTCCGCGTCTTTGCGAAAGAGGTGGACAATAAAGTAATGGTTATCTATCTATGAATGGATTTATGTCCTCTGAAAATAGTTCGTTTTAAGGTTATGGAATTTCATTTCAAGTTTAAAATCTTTTTACATAGAGCATGTCCTAAATTTGAATTGGTCTTAAAAAATCCTTGTCAAATATCGCCTTGGTTTTACTAAGAAGGTCAGTATTACAACTTAACCTCTATTAGGAAAGACATACCCGGAAGTTCTTTAGCTTTTATCAAGTACAGTTTTATCAAGATCTTAAGAGCTAAGGAATGCTAATATTTGTTGTTCACAACGGTGTTCTGTTTATTCATTTATTAGAGGTTAAATGCAGTTCATTATAAAAATAAGGACCAAAAAAATTACAAAGTTTATTTCTGTTTGCTTAATTATTATAAAAATGGCGTTTATAAAAAAAAAAAAAAAAAAAAAAAAAAAAAATCGGTGCAAGAAAAGAATGATTCTTGAAACTGTCACCTCCAAATATTTGCAACAATATAATTATCCTATTGTAAGTATGCCTTAACAAAAGGATTTTAATTGCAAAAAAGGTCCATTTTTGTTAGTTTTTACTTATCTCATTTTTTTTTATGATTGATCGATTCAATAAATAATTTTATGAAGTAAATATCTATCTAATTTGATGTATTTTATTTTGCTATTAGCTTGAAAATATTTATTTTGCTATTAGCTTAAAAATATTTTATTTTGCTATTAGCTATTAGCTTGAAAACATTTACTGGCTGGTACTTTATAACACTCAGAAATAAAGTACTTTGAATCGTGACCCAGATCATTGGAATCAGGCAATGATTGTCAATGTAAAAAATACAAAAACAGATACGGCATATAAAATTAAAATATATCTGTACATTTAACCTCAGTAAATTGCAACAATTAATACCATTTATTCAGCATGTTGAAAACACTTGTATTTAAAGAAAAACAACATTCATCCAAAAAAAAAAAAAACAAACAAACAAACAGAAAAAAAAAAAAAAAAAAAAAACACCCCCCCCCCCAAAAAAAACAGAATTCCAAATAAGTCATATTATAATATAATACAATGTATATTAATTATAATTACAATTAATAATTGAACTTTTCGTGTGTTGAAGACAAAAAGCATAATTAGGGGAATGTCATTTGATAAATGTATCATTGTATATGGAGAGAACTATGTTATGCCTAAAGTGCTAAGACCTCTCTGTTAAGTATCAAATGTTTTTTTTAGCATGTCATGGTGTTTTAAAAATCTTTAAATCACTAAGAGACATTAATTGTTAACAACGCTTCCGTTTTGCTTTATTTAAGGTGTTTAAATATTTGAGAGATAAAGTTTAAAAGGTTATAAACATCCTGATAAACTTGACCAACTTAAAGAACTACAGTAAATAAGGAATGGGGATGGCATCTTTCACCATGGTTTTATTTTTCTTCGGAGAAATGTATTGCGAAATACACTTGAATAACTAGAGCAGCTGAGTCACTAGAAAAAAATTTAAATCCAATCTATACCTAATATATGATCAGAAATTCAACATTCTCTTATGAAGATAGAAGTGTGTAAATATACTGCGATCACGTGTAATGTCTCTGAGCTGGAAAATTGTGAAAAAGCCAGGTTTTCTACT